AGTACCTGTCTGGCACCAGGGAGAGAGCTCAGGGGCTGGAGAGATAGTGCAGCCAGCAGGTAAGGCACTTGCCTTGCACGAGGCTGACCGAGGTTTGATCCCTGGCATCCCATACGGTCCTCCTAGATGCCAGGAGTGATTTCTGAGTGCAGAACAAGGAGTAACCCCTGAACATTTCTGGGTGTTGCCCCCAAACAAAACAGGGAGAGAGCTCGAAAGGTTGATGCTTCGCATGCTGAAGCCTTGGGTTAGATCCCCAGCACAGTATGATCTCCATAACACCAATGGAGATATTCAGAATATTCCCAGAGAACTGCTATTGTGTCCCACACCTACAAGGATAAGGGTGCCTACCTTGCAGAGGAGATGGCACTTGCCCTGCCATGGCTGACACAGATTCAATCCCTGGAACTGTATAATGGTCTTCAAGCTATGCCAGGAGTGATCTCTGAGCACAGTCAGGAAAAAGTCTGGAACACTGCCGGATGTAGCCAAAACAAACAGAAAAGTGCCTGCTCTGCAAGCATGAGATCAGGCAGTACAAACCTGTATTATCGCCCATATGTGCCAAGCCTGGCCCTGGTGGCTCTCCTGTCTGGGTCTCTCTGTCTTGCAAAGTTATGTGATCTCAGACCCACTGCCAGATTGGGCGAGCCCCTCCATGAGGAGAGTGACCCCTTTTGAGAGCCTTGTGAACACTACAACACCCTTCTGGCTAAGCACTACAATCAGAATGTGCAAGAGCACAACTAAATGAGTTTATCCCACAGGGAGCACATGTGCAGTATCTCACAGACCAGCATATGGAACCCCATCACTGCAATCACAACAGCAGCAAAGGGAAAGGAAGGGCGGGAACTTTGATTTGGGAGGGCCAGTGCTCAGAGGCCACTCTCAGCTCACTATTCTGTCTCTCCTGAGCTTGGGGGACCACGAAGAATTAAACCTGGGGCTCTTGTATACAAGACAAGTGCTTCAGCCCAAGGAATAAAGATGGTCTCTCTTTACACCTACACCTGTACCAAGGATGGAACTTGCCTCAAATATGCAAGGCAAGTGCTTTATACTGAGCTACACCTCTGCTCAGTAAAAAAACCTAATTTTTAGAAGTACTCAGTACTCAGGGCTTACTCCTGGCTCAGAGCTCAGGGATCACTCATGATAGGGCTTGGGGGACTAAGCCAAGGATCAAACCCAGGTCAGCAGCATGCAAGGCAAGTGCCCTTTCCACTATACTATCTCTCCAGACCCAAATGCTTTTTTGTTTGTTTTGGTTTTGTTTGGGGGCTGCATCCTGCAGTGCTCAGAGATAACTCCTGACTGCACTCAGGAATCACTTCTCACGGGCTCAGGGGATTTTTTTTTGCTTTTTGGGTCACACCTGGTGATACACAGGGGTTACTCCTGGCTCATGCACTCAGGAATTACTCCTGGCGGTGCTCGGGGAACCATATGGGATGCTGGGAATCGAACCTGGGTCAGCCGCATGCAATGTAAACGCCTTACCTCTGGTGCTATTGCTCCAGCCCTGGGATTGTTTGGAATTTAGGGAGTCAAACCCTGGTTGGCTGCATGCAAGACAAGTGTCCTACCCACTGTACTATCCTTGTTACTCCCCTCCCACCTTATTTTAAAATGCTTTTTTTTAATGGGGACACACCCAGCAGTTCTCAAGGCTCATTCCTGCCTCTGTGCTCAGGTATCACTCCTGGTGATACTCGCGGGACCATATGGGGTGCTGGAACTTGAACCTCCCATTATCTTATCTCTCCAGCCTCTATTGCGCACCCCCTATTTTTAATTGAATCACTGTTAGACAAACAGTTACAAATTTGTTCATGATTGGGTTTCAGTCATACAATGGTTCACCAGTGCACATTCCCACCTCCGATGTCCCCAGTTTCCCTCCTGCCATGTCCCCCCAGCCTTCCTCTATGGCAGACACTTTTCTTCTCTCTCTCTCTCTCACTCTCACTTCTTTCCTTTTAGAATCGTGATTTGCAATACAGCTACTGAAGCTTATGTTCTATATCATTTTACCTACTTTCAGCAGTCAGTTCTTGTCCAGAGTGATCATTTCCAAGTACCGCTGTCATAGTGGTCCCTTGCCAGCCTCTATTAAAAATTAGATACCATGATTTATAAGGTTTTTGGGATTCAGTGTTCCACCACCAATGTCAGCTTCCCTCCACCCAAGGTCTTTTCCCTCTCCCCACCCTGACTCCTTAGAAATACACATTATTTTTAGTTATGATAGTTTGGGTCACATGTCTACATTAGTGGCGGAGCGATAGCGCAGCGGGTAGGGCATTTGCCTTGCATGCGGCCAACCTGGCTCTAGGAAAGCCCGGCAAGCTACCGAGAGTATCCTGCCTGCACGACAGAGTCTGGCAAGCTCCCCGTGGCGTATTTGATATGCCAAAAGCAGTAACAACAAGTCTCACAATGGAGACATTACTGGACCCGCTGGAGCAAATCGATGAACAATGAGAGGACAGTTCTACAGTGCTATAGTTTACAATAGTGCTTTTTCTTATAATTTTGATACATATAGTTACCTCACCCCTGAATCACTCACTGAAATGTCCAAGACCTTTGGCCAATGCCTTTGCATTATTTAACCATTTCATTACTGTCTACCCCCAACTTTACTTAAAAACAATATAAAGTGCAGCAGGTAAGGTGCTTGCCTTGCATGTAGCCTACAGGGACAGAGGTTAGTCTCCTACCCAGCACATATAGGAATACAGTACCCTGAATCCCTCTAGGTGTGATCATTAGCTCAGAACCAGTAGTAAGCCCTGGGCTGTGCATAGCCTGTTGGGCCACCCAAATCTAAATTAAATAAATAAAAACTACATACTATACTGTGTAATCACACAAAAAATAAAAAGGCCGGCGGTCAGGCCGTTTCCCCAGTCCACGGATGGTCAGGCGAAGGAAGGAAACGAGGCCAAGCTGGTTGGTCTTAGCAGCCGTTTATTACATGGAAGAGATGTATGTCATGGAGGCCTCAGGAATCCTCAAGCACATGCGCCTTTGTTCTCTCAGCTTCTGTCCTCAGTCCCATCTTCCCAGGTTCTCTGATACACGTGTCCCCCACCCCCCAGAGCCCTGAAATCTCCCTTATATAGATCATAGTACCTTTAAAGGGGGCAATACAGTGATGTCATCAAAAGGAGTTACAGAAAGAACATTGAGGCCGGAAACATACATTGTTTCTTTACATCCACAGGCCAGTAAACCTGGCCTCACCTTTGACAGGCTACAAGCACTTGGATTAGCACAACAAAGACCAGTCCGCTAGAGCTTGGAATCTACATCAGCCTACCTGGAGGCAGGCATCTACATCCCAAAGATCAGTCCTGGTTTAGCACCTGGGATCTGCATACCTAAGGCCAGCTAGGTTCCTGTGAGATAAGAGAAACTGCCTCAATATACTGAAATCATTTACTGAAGGCAGTTTGAAGGGGAGAAAGTTCAGTCTCATCCAAGCTAGTCAGGACACAAAGGAAAACTGCTTCTAGGACTGTTTCTCCTCTCCTTGTCCTACCAACATAAGCATACATAATATTAATCATTTTGTATGGACACAGTAAGAAATACCTTGAGCTTATAGAATTGCTCTCCCAGGGCCATCTCAATCTCAGACTGCCGTGCTCAGGCCAGATATCTTTCCTATTCTTAGCAGCAGGGTCCTAGTCTCATCGTTACTTTTGGATCATGACAGCATTTGCCTATGATCAAACTCTTAACTTATAGTTAAGAACCGTGGCACCTTGGCCTGGCCCATCGCGATGCCAGGGTAGCACATAACTTACCGGCTTGCCCTGGTTCATCCAGTCCCACGTCGGGACCCTGCCCTTGGGGTGCTAGGAAGTGAGGGCAACTGAGGCTTAAGTTGAGAAGGCAGATGCCCAGGAGTGAATAATATTCAAAGCCAATCAATTCCTAAGTTACCAAGCATATTTATTAATTGTCTTCCTGTATCTATACAAAAGGACATTGCATTAAAGTAAACTGCTCAAAAGACATAAGGAGAGGAGAAAAGCAATATTAACTTACAGTACAGCTTCAGTGTCTAAGAAGGATGAGACCTTACAAATTGGTTGGGGAAGAGAGCATAGAAGTGGTTACAGACTGACAAAGTAATGGGAGTGACTCGGGAGCACTGTGATGGGTACAATCTGATAAACCTAAGCTCCGTGTACTCCAACACTATACAACTTCATTTATGTAAAACTCTAGAAAAATGCTAACTAATACAAGTTTTATTCAGGGGGGGAGATTGTTTTGGGGCCAACCCTGAGGCACTTAGGGCTTACTCCTGGCTCTGTGCTCAGGGATCACTGGGATGCTGGCAATCGAAACCATGTCTGCAGCATGTAAGGCAAGCACCTTACCTGCCCTACCAGGCAAGCTAATATGTTGATATCAGCACCCTTGGTTCACTCAACTGGCTCATTTCTTTTATCGCCTCTACTTTTTCTGACTTTTTTTCAGTTCACAGACAACCTCTTTTAAGCTAACGTTGGTTTCCAGTGGAAAACGTGAGGTGGGGTGGAGTGGGCGGGACTCACCTTGCTAAGGGGAAGGTGAAACTTGAGCACCCTCTCAGCGAGGAACCCCTAGGGAAATCGTTATCTAAATGGCCCTCAATAGCCCAAAGATGTGTAAGGGTGGTTTAAAAGCCTGTGACTTGGAGGGAACCCCCAAGTACAAAGGGTAGGGCGTTTGCCTTGCAAGCGGCTGAACTGAGTTCGATCCTCGGCATCCCGTATTGTCCTCTAAGCACCGCCAGAAGTAATTCCTGAGTGCAGTGCCAGGAGTAACCCCTGAGCATTGCTGGGTGTGACCCAAAAAGAAAAAAAAAAGAAAAAAGCCTGTGACTGGTTGCCAGCGAGAATGGCCCTAGAACTCCACTTCCCAGGAGGTCTCGGGGCGCGGAGATGAGACTGCGTCTGACGACAGTTGGGACTCGGTCGCTGCCCGGATGTGGAGCCGAGCCCGCCTCAGGCAGCCAAGCCTATCAACAGTCGCCAGTCCGGGAGGCTTTAGCGGCTGTGCTTGCTCCGCGCCGGAGAAGGAGGAGCCCTTGACCCGGTAAACTTTCTTGAGACACCCCCCCCCCCATCCTAGGGGAGGGAGAGCATCTCAGCCCTTTCCTCTTGAAATCTCCATCCCCTTGCTCGGTTGTCCTAGAATATGTGCCACTCCTTTGAATGAGGGGTTCGAGGTGGGATGAATTTATGTACACGGGGAGCTGGAGCCTGCTCTTCTTGTATGTGGATCCGATGAGGGGCACTTTGCGTCCCAACCTCACGGACTCAATTGAAGTCCCGCTGCATCGACCCTGGGAGAAGAAAGCATGCGAGGATGTGCGGGGAGAGTCCAGCGGGCTTGGAGTGACTGCTGAGGGGGTCCCTGCGATTGCCTCTGGGTTAAGCTTCCAGGCACTGGATAGTCTTCTGGCCCTCGGGTGGGGAGTGTTCAGAGTTGCTTCCATAGCTTCCCAGTGCTCCTCAGACTTCTTTAACTTAACTTGAACCAAGTAAATTCGTTTTCAGTGTGAAGAAGCTTTCGGACTTAGTTGATCACATAGCTGAGGAAAGTAGTAAAGGAAAATGGGTGAGGAGTGAGGGAAATGGCTCAGAAGGCTGGAGCAGAGTGCATGCAGAAGCCCTAGTTCAATTCCTGGCACCATAAGGACCTCTTAGCACCTCCAGGAACTGAACTTCTTCTAGGAGTAATGTCCGTAGTAGATTTTCCCAAACCAAAAACGGTGACGGGCCGGCCTGGGGGGGGGGGGGGGGGGGCGGGGGGCACCTGCTGAATTGTTTTGGTTTCAGAAAGTTAGATTTCAGGCGATTTTGACTCAGATTTGTCTGTAAAGTGGAATTTCAAAAATGTTAGAAACTGTAATACATTGAGGGGGTGGGAGGCATAGGTTACATCTGGCTGTGTTGAGGGCTTATTCATGGCCCTGTGTTCAGGGATCACTCCTGGTGGTGCTCAGGGAATCTTATGCGGTGCCAGGGCGCTAAGTAGGGCTGGTGCATGTACCCTAACCCCTTGTACCTTAGCTTTTCTCTGGTATCAGACACTGGAATAGTTGGACTTGCATGCTTTTCGTTTGGGTTTGGAGCCTCAGCCAGCTATGTCAGGCTTAACCCCCGGCTCTTGGCTCAGGGATTACTCTTAGTGGTGCTTGGGGAACCATATGTAGTAGCGGGGATCAAACCTGGGTTACTCCCATGCAAGGAAACCATCCTATGTGCTCTATTGTTTCTCTGGCCCTGAGTGCCATTCTTGTTTAGGCTGTTAACTGGTTCTCAATAGTTGCTCCTTCTTTTATATTGTGCATTCAACCTGAGACTTCAGTGCTTGTTAAGGAGGATCATTTGTTAGGTGAGTTTGAAAGAGTTGGGAGAGACCTAATGCCTACCTTAAATGTAGTCAAATTAGGGAATGACTTATTTGGGAGGCTCTGGGGTGCTAACTCCTGCTCTAGGCTTCTCCCAATTTCCATTGTGAAAGGCAGACTTAAAGATGTTTGAGCTGCTTTGGTGTCTACTTCATAGTGCTACTGAGATGAGATTCAGATATGTGAGCATTTGCACAATGCCTATAATGCTAGACTAGTTTTGGTTTGGGGTTACACCCAACAGTGCTCAGGGCTTACCCTGGCTCTGTGTTCAGGGATCCCTCCTGGCAGGCTCAGGGATCATATGGGGTACTAGAGATTGAACTAGGTCTGCCTTGTTCAAGGTAAGCACCCTACCTGCTGCACCATTGCTCAGGTCCTAACAATAAGCTCTTAATGTTTACTTTCCCTTTGTTTCTCCATAGTGACTTATTTTCTCTGTGCCATCTATTACTGTGTTTTGTTATTTGCTTTTTAATATAAATTCTGCCTTGTCAAAAAACTGTAAACTTCTTTTTTCTTTCTCCTTCCCTCCCTTCCTCCCTTTTTTCTTTTTTCTTGGGGGAAGGGCCATACCTGGCGATGCTCAGGGGTTACTCCAGGTTCTGCACTCAGAAATTACCCCTGACAGTGCTCTGGGGACCATATGAGATGCTGGGGATCAAACCTGGGTCGGCTGCATGCAAGGCAAATGCCCTCCCCACTGTAATATCTCTCCAGCCCGCCTTCCTTCCTCCCTTCCTCCCTTCCTTCCTTCCTTCCTTCCTTCCTTCCTTCCTTCCTTCCTTCCTTCCTTCTTGTTTTTGGGCCACACTCAGCGGTGCTCAGGGATTGTTTCTGACTCTGAGCTCAGGAATTGCTCCTGGCAGTGCTCAGGAGACCAGATGGGATGCCAACTTGGCCACATGCATGGCAAGTGCCCTACCCACTGTCCTATAAGTCCAGCCCCTCTTTCTTTTTCTCTTTCTTTCTCTCACTTTCCCTCTCCCCCTTTCTTCTTTCTTTCTTTCTTTCTTTCTTTCTTTCTTTCTTTCTTTCTTCCTTTTTGGGTCACACCCAGCAATGCTCAGGGGTTACTCCTAGCTCTGCAGTCAGGAATTATTCCTGGAGGTGCTCAGGGGACCATATGGGATGCCGGGGATTGAACCTGAGTTAGTCACATGCAAGGCAAACTCTCTACCCTCTATACTCTCCTTCCTTCCTTCCTTCCTTCCTTCCTTCCTTCCTTCCTTCCTTCCTTCCTTCCTTCCTTCTTTCCTTCCTTCCTCCCTCCCTCCCTCCCTCCCTCCCTCCCTCCCTCCCTCCCTCCCTTCCTTCCTTCCTTCCTTCCTTCCTTCCTTCCTTCCTTCCTTCCTTCCTTCCCGTAGCAGTGCATCACCCAGAAGAGCAGTGTCTGGGATGGTATGAATACTGGTGGTGATGTGGGTGATGTATGTGATCCTTTTGGAAAATTTATGGAACTAAGGTAAACAAGCTTCTCATGTAGGTAAAGAACAAACCTAGAGTATTTGCCTTTTTCTTGTAACATTACACTCTCTCAGAGGTTCCAATCCTTTTAAAAATTTATTTTAGGGGCTGGAGAAATAGCACAGTGGGTAGGGCGTTTGCCTTGCACGCAGCCGACCCTGGTTCGATTCCCAGTTATCCCATATGGTCCCCTGAGCACCGCCAGGGCTAACTCCTGAGTGCAGAGCCAGGAGTAACCCCTGTGCATTGCCAAGTGTGACCCAGAAAGCAAAAAAAAAAAAAAACTATTTTAAGGGCCAAAGAGATAGTACAGAAGGCAAGGTACTTGCATTGCACACAGCTGACCTAGGACCCCTCAGCACAGAGCCAGGAATAAACCTTGAGCACAGTTGGGTATAGTTCCAAAACCCTAAAACTAAAAACTTAAATTAAATATAAAAATGTATTTTTTAATTCTATAACTTTTTGTGCCAGAGAGATAGTACAAGAGTTAAGGCATGTACGTTGATTTCATGCAGCCAAACAGATTGATTCCCTGTACTGCATATGGAGCGATAGCACAGTGGGTAGGGTGTTTGCCTTGCATGCGGCTGACCCAACTGACCCGGGTTCAATTCGTCCACCCCTCTCGGAGAGCCCGGCAAGCTACCGAGAGTATCTAGCCTGCACGGCAAAGCCTGGCAAGCTACCCGTGACATATTCGGTATGCCAAACACAGTAACAACAAGTCTCACAATGGAGATGTTACTGGGCCTGTTCGAGCAAATTGATGAACAACCGGAGGACTGTGCTGTAGGACTGTGCTGTGCTACTGCGTATGGTCCACTGAAGCCACTAGGCGTCACTATTGAGCACAGAGCCAGGAATACCCTTTGAGCACTGCAAGGTATGGTACCCAAAACAAAACCAAAACCAAACTAAACAAAACCATTTTTGTATCTAATACATTAGTGTGACCTCTATATAAATAGTTGTACAACAGAAAACAAGAAGTTTTCTATTGCAAAAATTGAAACTCCATATCAGAACTTCCCAACCTTACTTGGCCTACTGCACACTTTACACATAGGTATACACAAATACACACACACACACACACACACACACTCAGTACCACCTTGGAAATCTACTTGTTTGTGTTTTGGGAACACTTGGCTATGCTCAGAGATTATTTCCTGCTTGGTGCTGGGAGGTACTACATGGTGTTGGGGATGAAACCTTGGTCTCCCTCATACGAAGAATTATGATCACCCTGTTGAATATTTCTCCAGTCCTAAAATCTACTTCTTTAGTTGCCTGGCCTCCTAATTGTAATTGAGCTGCTATGCCTCCCTGGATCATTTTTGTTCGTTTGTTTTTGGGCATGCAAGCAATGCTCAGGGCTTAGTTCTGGCTAGGCACTCAGGGATCACTCCTGGTGTGCTTGGGGAACCATATGGATGACAGAGATCAAAACTGTGTGGGAGGGGGAGCCAGAGTAATAGTATAGTGGGTAAGGTGCTTGCCTTGCATGCCACCGACCTAGGTTTGATCCCTGACAGCCAGAGTAAGCCATGAGCACAGCTGGGCATGGCCCCAAAACAAAACAAAACAAAACAAAAAAATCTTGCTTTATAAAAATAATAAAATAAAAGAACACAACCATGCTCTGTGCTCAGGGTTTACCCCTGATGGGACTCAGAGGACCATATGGGATGCAATGCTGGGGATCAAACCCAGGTTGCCTGCATGCAAGGCAAGCACCCTACCTGCTGTACTATTTACTCTGACCCAACATACCCCACAGTTTTAAAAAGTAGGATCAGGCCAGAGAGATGGGCTAGAGTGTATGCTTTGCATGCAGAGGCCCAGGATAGATCCCCAGAGCACTACCAGGAGTGACCCTCTGAGCACTAAGCTGGGAATAGCCCCCTGAGCACTTTCAGGTGTGCCCCCTAAACCAGAAACAAAATTAGGATCTAGGGTATTTGTCCCAAAGTGGACAAAACCACTCCAACTGATGGTGGGGCACTGGACTCTCCAGGGTAGTAGCTCAGGTACAGTTGAGTGATTTTTGTTTGCTTAAGCAAGGTAGTTTCTGAAGGGTGGGAGGGCATTGGGTGAATTTTTTTAGTCTTGAAAAGGGCCAAATAAGTTTATAAACCTTTGTTCTAGACCCTTGGCCATCAGTATGATTCGAATGTCCAAATACAGGTCATCTATACGATTTACATTGATAGTTGTAAAACAATACATTTTTACTTAGAAATGAGAAGCTAAGCCTGGCTTTTGTACCTAAAAGTTTCGCTTTGGTTCAGCAACTTCTTCAGCTACCTCATTATTCTGAATGCAGTCACTTTGAGCAGAGTTATTGGACTTTGGAGGGTACCTAGAGGGGGCTGGAAAGATGAGTTGTACAGGCAGTAATTGCTCTAGAGATTCAGAAGAGAAAGAAATCAATCTATTCTGGCTCTGAAGAGATAGTACAGCAGCTAAGGTGCTTGCCTTGCACCTGACCACCTAGGGTTTGATTCCAGCACCCCAGATGGTCCCCTGAGAGTCTCACCAGGAGTGACTTCTTGGGGGGTGGACCCTCTGGTGCTCAGGGCTTACTCCTAACTCTGTGCTCATGGATCACTTCTGGCAGGCTTGGGGAACCATATGGTTTGCTGGGGTTGAATCCACGTAAGACACATAAAAGGCAAGCACCCTACCCCCCTGCACAATCCACCAGGAGTGATTCTTGAGCACAGAGCTAGAAGTAAGCTCCAAGCACAGCCAGGTATAATTCCCAAATCCACCCCCCAGCAAAAAAAATTCCTATTCTGGAAAAATCGAGGAAGGTGATTTTCAAGGATGTGTTAGGTGACTGCCCTGTTTCCCTTGTTCTTGAGTATTTGATCTTTATGCCCATTCTTAGGTGAAAAAAATCAGTTACCACCCTTGCAAAGGTGGTTGGAATTCTCTGATCTTTTAGCTGTGAGAACTACGCTAATGAAGGCTTCTAGCTGGAATGCTTCTTTGGTCAGAATTGGCTGTATCTGGAGAGAGAGAGCTACCCCTAGTGGACATGTGTGAATCATACGCTGAAGGTCAACTTCTCTGTAATGGAACCCGGGAAGAGGGATTTTGTACTGTTTTGGTCTATGAATGGGCCTAATGTAAACCTCAGCTAGTAAGGCAAGATGAGTGATTTATCAATTCCCTCCAATCCCAGTTCCTTAGTTGAGAAATTACTGACTCTGTCATTTTTCTTTAAATAAAACGGCTTTCTCTTTTCTTGTGTTCTGACTCTGTAAATTTAACACTAAATTTGGGTAGTAGTTATTAAGCTAAAGAAGGTGGAGTAATGTTGATTACTCAAAGGATACAAAATTGACAGAATGTTAATATGAGGGAGGTATAAACATGGAAGTTCAAAACAAGTATGCTTCTTGGAGCTTAGACATGCTTTACCATGAACTCTCAGTACTTGATTCATGAAAAAATGGGATGAGATTATGGTGTAACCTGTAACCTGGAAACCGGTATTTATTTATTTATTTATTGCTTTTTGGGTCACACCTGGTGATGCACAGGGGTTACTCCTGGTTCATGCACTCAGGAATTACTCCTGGCGGTGCTCGGGGGACCATATGGGATGCTGGGAATCGAACCCGGGTTGACCACGTGCAAGGCAAATGCTCTTCCTGCTGTGCTATCACTCCAGCCCAAAGACCTGTATTTTTAAGGTGAGGAAAGAGAGCAGGAGATGGCTCAAAGGATTTATTATTATTATTACTATTTTTTTTTGGTTTTTGGGCCACACCCAGTGATGCCCAGGGGTTACTTCTGGCTCTGAATTCAGAAACTACTCCCGTTACTAAGAGTATCTTGCCTGCATAGCAAAGCCTGGCAAGCGACCTATGATGTATTCAATATGCCAAAATAGTAACAAGTCTCACAATTTCTCAAATCGATGAACAACGGGAGGACAGTGCTACAGTGCTACAGTGCTCAGGGGACCATATGGAATGCCAGGAATTGAATCTGGGTCAGCTGGGTGCAAGGCAAATGCCCTACCCACTGTACTATTGCTCCAGCTCCTTGCTCAAAGGGTTTTAGTAAATGGTTTGCATGCTGGAGCTCTTGGCTCCATTCTGACACCACATGGTCCCCAAGCACCACCTGGGGTGACCCCTGGGCACAGAGATGGGAGTAGTCCTATGAGCACTGCTGGTTGTGACCCATGAAACAAAAACAATTTAAAAAGAATATTAATTTTTTTAATTTTTAAAAATAGGGCTGGAGCGATAGCACAGCAGGTAGGGCGTTTGCCTTGCACGTGGCCGACCCGGGTTCGATTCCCAGCATCCCATATGGTCCCCCGAGCACCGCCAGGAATAATTCCTGAGTGAAGAGCCAGGAGTAACCCCTTAGCATTGCCGGGTGTGACCCAAAAAGCAAAAATCATAATAATAATAAAAAAATTAAAATGTAATTTAAATTAAGTAATTTAATTTTTAAAATTTTTTGTCTGGGGTCACATGCAGATTACTCTTGGTGGTGCTTGGGGTACCATATGTGATGCTGGGTATCAAACTTGAGTTGATTGCTTGCAAGGCAAGTGTCTTACCTGATGTGCTGCCTTACCTGATGTACTATCTCTCCACCCCCCCCAAAGGAATTCTTGTCCTAGTCTGGGAGGAGAACTGAAAGGAATAGAGTATACATGCCTGGCATGTAGAAACTGGATTTCTTTTTGTAAGGGGGCAAAGTTTTAGGCTATGCCCAAGTTGCTTGGGGATGACTCCTGGCAGTGCCTAGTTGACCATATGTGGTGCCAGGGATTAAACTGAGATTGGCTGCATGCACGGCAAGTGCTTTACTGCCTGCATAATATTTCCATTGCTGTGTTTGATTCCCAGCACCACAGAGTACCCCATGCATCATCAGTGTGGCCCCTGAACACTGCATGGGGGGTCTTCCTTAACATTTTTTTTAACTTTTGGGGTCACATCCAGCGATGAACAGGGGTTACTCCTGGCTCATGCACTCAGGAATTACTCCTGGCGGTGCTCAGGGGACCATATGGGATGTTGGGAATCAACCCTCAGTCAGCCATGTGGCAAGGCAAATGCCCTACTTGTGTAGTATTGTTCCAGACTTCTAACCTCCTCTCTTGCTTCTCAGAGAGAAATCTTTACAAAGTTTACCCTCTTGAAATTATCCAAGTATCTGTAAATATTCCCTATTTCTCTCTTGTATACAGGACTCCAAGGGAAGTATGCAGACGATCAAATGTGTGGTTGTAGGAGATGGGGCAGTAGGTAAGACCTGCCTCCTCATCAGTTATACAACAAATGCCTTTCCTGAAGAGTATATACCCACTGTATTTGACAACTATAGTGCCCAGACATCTGTGGATGGCCAGACTGTCAGCCTCAACCTTTGGGACACAGCTGGCCAAGAGGAATATGACCGGCTGCGAACGCTCTCCTATCCCCAGACCAATATTTTTGTTATTTGTTTTTCCATTGGCAATCCATCCTCTTATGCCAATGTGAGGCATAAGTGGCACCCAGAGGTCTCTCACCACTGCCCAAACGTACCCGTTCTGCTAGTTGGCACTAAAAGGGACCTTCGGAGTGACCTCGAGACAGTGAAGAAGCTGAAGGAACAGAGTCTGGTGCCAACAACTCCTCAGCAAGGCACTTCCCTTGCTAAGCAGGTGGGGGCTGTAAAGTACCTGGAATGTTCAGCTCTGATGCAGGATGGGGTACATGAGGTATTTTCAGAAGCTGTCCGGGCTGTGCTTTACCCTGCCACAAAGAAGAACACCAAAAAGTGTGTCCTCTTATAGCTTATGAGATTCTACTTGGGGACTGCATCCAAGGAGACAACAAGAGGTAATTCCTTTGACAGCCCATAACAATGCCAACATGAACCATTTGTCTCTTCTGGAAACTTCAATTTATGTGACTTTTGGAGGACAAAGACAGACTAGCTGTACATCATGGTTACTGTAAACTTTGTTCTGAATGTTTCTGAGGAATAACGCGTGTGCGTGCACGCGCATGTGTGTGTGTCCCTGTTAAAGTTGTAAAAGGAGACACCACCAAGTGCTGTTCTTTTACTGTCCCGGACAGACTACAACTAAACACAGTAGTCGTGATACTTTCCTTTGTAGGCTTTTGCTTGTCTCTTGTAAAATCAGTTTCTCTTTTGACAGTATTTACCATTGAGCAGGTGCTTCACAGAAGAACATGTTTCTTCAGTGTTTAAGTAATTGCCTTAAACTTTCCAACACATTAATTTTTAAAAACTGTGTTATTTGTGATTACTGAATGTTCTCAATGTTGATGTGGTTTTCCAATTCTGGAGATGAAACATTTTCTTAAAAATGTTAAAGCAGTATTTCCCAAATTTCTGTGAGATGGTAATAGATGTTTCTTTAAAAGACACATCTTGGGGTCAAATGTGTCAGAAATCAATGTTTTAAATAAAGCTGAACAGGATCTTCACTTGCAGGAATTTTTTTTGGGGGGAGCGGTATGGGCAACACATGGTGGTGCACAGGGGCTATTCCTGGCTCTGTGCTCAGGAGTGTCCCCTAGACAGTACTCAGGGGAACTATATATTTGGTGCTGGGGATTCAACCAGGATTGGCTGCCTTGCACCTTACCCACTGTAGTATCTCACCAGCTCTCACTTGAAGGAATCTGACTTTTAGTAAAAATGCAGTATTTTACAAAATTATTTCACAGAAAAAATTGGGGGGGCTACACAGGCTTTTGTTATGGTGTACTTTTTATTAAAATAATTTTTATTGAATCACGAGAGATACAGTTACAAGGTTGTTCATGATTGGGTTTCAGTCATATGTTCTAGCACCCATCCCTTCACCAGTGTACATTTCCCACTACAAGTACCCCTAGTTTCCCTCCTCTGCCCCACGCCTGTCTCAGTGGCAGGTACTTTTCTCCCCCCACCTCTCCTTTTGGGCATTATGGTTTTCAATACAGAGACTGAAAGATTATTAGATATATCCCTTTACCTACTTGTAGCACTCAGCTTTTTTAAAAAAATTTATTTATTGAATCACTGTGAGAACAGTTACAAAGCTTTCAGGTTTTAGTCTCGGTCATACAATGATCAAACAGCCATCCTTTCACCAGTGCATATTTTCCACCACCAAGTATCCCAATATCCCCATCCTACCCCTCCTCATGCCTGTGAGGCAGATGATTTCCACTTAACTCTCTCTCTACTTTGATTATTCATTATTTTGACAAAAGATGCACCATTATTATTTGGAATTTTCTCCCAAGAATCAAATCCGTTGAAAATGCATCATGAAATAATTTGTTTTCTATTGCTAGTTATGAAGACCATATGATGTCACACGGATGCAATAGTGGCCACACAATTTTGGATTTCTGATATTTTACTAATTAAGTTTGGAGGGATTTCTGCCAAAAGCTTCAGTTCCAAGATTGGTTTGTGTGCCTCTGGGGTTATGGTCGTGCCAGAGAGCTGCTTGTGGGGGGCAACTCATGGTCTCGGCAGGGCAAGAAGGACGTGCTGGTTCTACCCCCCTCCCTCCATCCTATGAGGCTGCAGTTGCCCAGTCACTGCTGGCTCATACCCGGCTGTCCAGTAAGCTCTGAGGCAGCGGCCACCATGCCGCAGGAGGAGGGGGAGGTGGAAGAGATAGACACCCTTTCCCTCTGGTGGGGAGGGGTCATGGCACCATAGGTTAATGTCCATTTACATCTCTGCCAAAAGCTGCTGGGTTCCAAATTAGGTCCGCATGCCTCTGGGGCCATGGCTGTGCCAGAGAGCCACTCGTGGAGGGAAATTTGTGGTCTTGGCAGGGCAAGAAGGACGTGTGCACTCAGTTCTTATGGCCAGGGTTTACTCCTCTCTGTTCAGGGTTTACTCCTGGTGATACTCAGGAACCATCACATATGCTGCCAAGTATTCAAACTGAGTTTGGCCGTATGCAAGGCAAACCCTGTACTATTTCTCAGGTCCCCCAATAAATTTGGGGAGTCATACCTGGTGGTGCTCAGGGCTTACTTCTGGTTCTGCACTCAGGGACTATATAGGGTGTCAGGGATCGAACCCTGGTTGGCTGTGTGCAAGGCAAGCACCTTACTCACTGTACTATCACTCTGGCCCAGCAAATAATTTTTAAAAAAATTTTTTTTAGGTTTTTGGGCCACATCCAGTGATGCTCAGGGATTAATACTGGCTCTGCATTCAGGAATTACTCCTGGTATTACTGGGGGATGCTGGGGATCAAACCTGGGCCTGTCATGTGCAAGGCAAGTGCCCTGTCCTCTGTATTATCTCTCCAGCTCCTGCCCCCCCATAAATTTTTAGTATAAATACAGACCTAATACTTGGAGCAAACTTACTCTAACAATTACTTGATGTTTATCTGAAATTCAAATGTAGTGTGATGTTCTAGTTTTGGTTGCCATTACCTGGTGGTGTGCAGAGGTTATTCCTTGACTCTGTGATCAGGAGTTACCTTGGAAGTACCCAAGGGTCCATAGGTAGTGCCAGGATTCGAATCAATGTTGGTGGCAATCAACTGCCTTAACCTTTGAACTCTTTCTCTGGTCCTATAATGGGATGATCTATATTTATTTTATTTGATATTTTACTTTATTTGATATTTTGCTTTTGGGGGGATTTTGGGTCACATCTGGAGATGCTCAGGAGTTACTCCTGGCTCTGCACTCAGGAATTAATCCTGGTAGTGCTTGAAGGACTGTATGGGATACCAAATATTGAACCTGGGTCAGCCATATGCAAGGCAAACACCCTATCCACTGTACTCCAGTTCTGGAACTACACATTTCAGTAGCAGTACTCACACACTAACTTTTGGCAGTGTTTTCCAGGGCTTGCTATGGTGCTGATACATATATGTGCTGGAGTCACACCCCCCAACTCTGGTACTTGCTGGCGGTCGCACATACCAGGCTGTATGCTGGTGATGGAGCACTCTTTTGTGGGGCCAGCGGTCTCTGAGAGCACAGCTGCCAGGTCTGTGTTCAGTGCCACATGTGGGCAGTACCAGGGATCAAACTCAAGGCTTCCAGCCTGCAAGGCAGGTGCTTTCAGCCCTGAGCCATCCCTGGGTCCCATGACTTTTTTGTTTTTGGGCTGCAACTGCTTGAGTCCAGGGCTGGGGATTCAAACACAGGTAGGCCGTATGCAAAGCAAGCACCTTACCTTCTGTATTATCTCTCTGGCCCCAAACTTTCCATTTTCTTATGTTCTTTCTCACATTTCCCATCTGCTTTATTCTAGCATCATCATCCTTTTTGATGCTCAAACTGTCTTACATAAGTTCACTAAGAAACCATTTCATTCTGGGTCCTGTGTCCTGTCAACACAATCCCATCAATCTTTGAGCACTTTTTTCTTGACACACAGTATTTCAGGCTTACTCTCCATGATTCCTGTCCTAGGCTCATAATATCAGCCACTCATTTATGGATCCCTAGATTCTCTTCATGGGGAATGGTGTTTAGAAACAGACCTCTTATCAGGCCAAAGTGATAGTACATGGGTTAAGGCACTTGCCTTGCATGCAGCTGACCCTGGTTCAATCTCCAGCATCACCAGGAATAATCACAGAGTAAGCAAAGAGCCAGGAATAATCCCTGGGCACCACTGGGATTACTGGCTGAGGCTAAAGAAATAGGGCTGGAGAGATAGTGCATCAGATAAGATCCCTGCTTGGTACCTCATATGCTCTCAAAACACAGACAGGAGTGAGCCCTGAGCACAGCTGAGTGTGGCCCCACATTCCCCCAAAATCAAGTGCATTTTATCACAGTACCTCAAATCTGGGCTGAAGCGATAGCACAGCGGGTAGGGCATTTGCCTTGCATGTGGCCGACCTGGGTTCGATTCCTCTGTCCCTCTCAGAGAGCCCGGCAAGCTACCGAGTATTCCACCCACATGGCAGAGCCTTGCAAGCTCCCTGTGTCGTATCTGATATGCCAAAAACAGTATCAAGTCTCACAATGGAGACGTTACTGGTGCCCGCTCGAGCAAATTGATGAACAACGGGAGGACAGTGCTACAGTGCTACCTCAAATCTAAAAAAATATTTAAAGAAATACAGACAGCCTAGAACTCACCTTTTTATATCTGCTCACTACTTGATTACATGGATGTCCTATGAAGTGTTTTAATAGTTTTACAATTCTAAATGATGATGATACAAGTCTACAAAACTCAGAGCAGCTGAAATGCTATATTTTGGCAATGAAAAATAAGTAGAATACCACTGTTATACTAATATTTAAAACAAAAAGCAAAACAGAATATTTATCTATGTACTTTAGATACAGCCTGTTAATGCTGATGCATAAAGAAAACCAGATTCAGGACCAGAGATGTAGTACAGCAGTCAGGGTGCTTGCCTTGCAGGTGGCGGACCAGGACTCGATCCTCAGAATCCCATATGGTCCCCCTGAACACTGCCAGGCATGACTTCTTGAGTGCAGAGCCAGGAGTAAGCCCCGAGTGCTACCAGGTGTGGTTTAAATAGACTTCAATAAAGAACTTTATTGGCAATATGGCAACATGTTGAAAGATGGTGGATTCATGTCCTCAGAGCAATCATCTTTCTGTATGGTCACAAGAAGGGGTTTTTCTAGGGAAAGAACGGGGGAAAAAAGGGTGGGCTACAGATCAGTGGCATCAAAATGAACAGTGAAATCCCCTGATCCCCTGAGACACACTCTATCTCATCTTCACCCAGGGATCACTCCTGGTAATACTCAGGGGACAATAAGGGATGCCTGGGATTGAACCCAGATTGGCTGAGTGCAAGCACCTAACCTGCTGTACTATCTCTTCAGAGTCCCCCTTTGTTATCCTTGGGACCATATGGGATACCCAAGATTGAACCCAGGTCTGTAGCATGCGGCGTTTACTACCTTTAACCCAATTTCAGGTGATTTAGAAAAAACTGACAAAATGTAAAGAATAGTGAATATAGGTGAAAGACTAGCTCTCCACTTTTTTGAGTGGGGTTTTGGTTTACCTGGCAGTGTTCAGGAGTGACTTCTGGAGGGGCTTAGTGGGTCATTATTTGCTACCAGGGATCTGAGCCAAGGTTTGCTGTATACAAGCGAAGTATCTTCTCTTCTGTACTATCTCTTCGGCTCTAACTTTAATTCTATTTAATTTCACATATCCTGACATAAGATGTGGAAGGGGATCGGTTTTTATGATCAAAGTTAATTCAAAACAGGGGCTGGAGCAATAGTCCAGCGGGTAGGGCATTTGCCTTGCACGCGGCCAGCCCAGGTTCAATCCCTGGCATCCTATATGGTCCCTTCGTGCACTGCCAGGGGAGCGCAGAGCCAGGAGTAACGCGTGAGCACTGCTGTGTCCCAAAAAAGAAAGAAACGTTAATTCAAAACAGCTAGCTTGCAAATTTAACTTTGGCACAACGCAATTTGCTAACAATTTCTCTCAGGTACAGAGCAGCGTGGTCGTAGTCACTGTCACTGTCCTCCCGTTGTTCATCGATTTGCTCCAGCGGGTCCAGTAACGTCTCCATTGGAGACTTTGTTGTTACTGTGTCTGGCATATCGAATACGTCACGGGGAGCTTGCCAGGCTCTCCCGTGTGGGGTAAGATACTCTCGGTAGCTTGCCGGGCTCTCCGAGAGGGGCGGAGGAATCGAACTTGGGTCGGCCATGTTGGCTGCGTGCAAGGCAAACGCCCTACCCGCTGTGCTATGACTCCAGCCCGTGGTCGTAGTAAAGCATAGGACGTAATATATAGGACGTAAGGCTTTATTTTATTATTAAAAAATTGGGGGAGTCACATGCGGAGGTGCTGGGGACTACTCTGGCTTCCAGCGAGAAGTCAGTAGCGGCGGCAGTACTGGGGAGCATGCGCAGCCGTAGAGCGAGGATGCAAATAATCCTCCAGCACATGGAGCCATCTCCCAGTCCGATTTTACTTTCTTTTCATTGTTATTCTTTGGCGCACAACCAGCGGTAAGTGGTGCGAGGTGCTGAGGTAAAACCCAGGGCTCCCTGAAGAAAGAATAAAAATCCCATTCCCAGGTTTTAATCTTTACTTCCGGTTACTGAGACAGGGTTACTTGCGGATTCCGGCACCTCGTGACTTGGATAACTCGTCCTGATTGGTGAGAAATTGAACTCTGGAGCCGATTTTCTTGAGCGGACAAGAGGAATGGGTGAAGGGGTGGGGAAAATTTTTTTTAGCCAATCACTGTCCACGTAGTCACCTGATCCTTAATCGGCGAATCAGAAATCGTTAGTCAAGTGGTGAAACCATGTTTTTTTTTCTCGCGTGGTGGCCGGCTTTCCGGTTTCCTTTCTTTTTGTTTTCTTTATTCCGTTTCCGGCGGGATGGGCGGGGTCAAGGAACCCTCGGAGTCACTTTTGTGCGACTAAATGTCTTCATTTCCGGTGTTTCCGGTGTCTGCGACTCGCTTGGGATTTGCTACACTACGCAGGCGCCATCATGTCCGACACGGATAGCGACGAAGATTCGGCTGGAGGCGGTCCCTTTTCTTTAGCCGGTTTTCTTTTTGGCAACATTAATGGAGCCGGACAGCTAGAGGGGGAAAACGTCTTGGATGATGTGAGGGGGTGGTCGTAGGGCTGGGGGGAGGTGCGGTTTAGGACCGTGGGCGGCGAGTAGAGGGCGATGTGGTTCCTCAGGCACGGAGGTGGGTCCCAGGCTGTGAGAAAGATGGAAAGACGGGAACTCATGCTCGTGAAATTGTTGGCAACTCAATTAGAGCTTATCGCGACCGATTTTCTGACATGATTGCCCCGAGGTGGTTTCGGAATCTTACATCTGGACTGGATCGGTATAACGAAAAGTTCAGATTCCCCTGGCTGTCCATTGGGATCCCTGCAGTTCCGATTGTGTTTCCCAGTTATTAGAATATTACTAATCCTGCAGTCCCAAGTTGTTCAGTTCAACCGATACTCCGTGCTTTTTGCCCCTGTGCTTAAAGTAAAACAGGCCGACTCATTAAAAAGGCAGAGAAATTGATAACGATTATTCTCTAGGAATTTAGCTAGTATTAACTATCCGACCCCGCTAAACATGAAAAGAGCAAAGAAAGTTCTTGCCTCGGATCCCAATGACTCCGGTTGCCTTCGTTTTCTTCCTTGAACTTCTGGTCCATTCCTGCTGTGGTTCTTTTGAGTTTATTTTCCTTATAGGAAAGCCAGGAGATTAAAGACCTCAGTGTGGAGTATAAGCACATATTTACCGTTCTTGGTGCACTGCAGTCATTTCCCCCAGGGATTTTTAGGTTTCTTAAAAACGCAAGAAATAAACCCTGTGGCATGGAAAGCTCAGTTGTCTTTGACTATGGTGTTTTTCCTTTTTCAGGAGTGTAAGAAGCACTTGGCAGGCTTGGGAGCTTTGGGTCTGGGCAACCTGATCACTGAACTGACGGCGAATGAAGAATTGGCTGGGACTGATGGTGCCCTGGTCAATGATGAAGGTGAAGTTTGGGTTATGTTGAGGAAGGTGGGGGAAGAAGCTTACTCTGCATGTACTTTTCAGTGGGAGTTATCTATCTAAGGCAGTTGCAGGTTCTTGTGGTGGGTTAACTTGCTCTTGGCTGAGATCCAGAGCTTCCTGGTCCTGTTTTCTTCATAGGCTGGATCAGAAGTACAGAAGACGCTGTGGACTACTCTGATATCAATGAGGTAGCTGAGGACGAAAGCCGAAGATACCAGCAGACAATGGGGAGCTTACAGCCCCTTTACCACTTAGGTGATTCTGTTTGTTCTAATTTGTGGGAGGGGTGGGGGGGAAATAAACCTATAATACTTGGGCTATTCCTGACTTTATGCTTAGGATTCACCCTTGTCAGGGGTGAATCCTGAGGTGACTCCTGAGCTTGGGGTGAGGTGACCATATGTGGTGCTCTGGGATTGGTAGCATGCAAGGCCAGCACCTTACCTCTTGTACTAGTTCATTGACCCAGCTTTTTAATTTTTAAAAGTTTGATTATGTTATTTTTACTGGGATAACACGAGTTGTAATGTTGTTTATGCTTTTAATAGAGTTACTGTACTTCCACCACCACTATGTACCACTGTCATCGTGTCACTTTAGTCAGTCCCATCTCTCTCCATCCTCCAACATCCTGCACCCCATGACCCTCACTTAGTAACTTCAGTTCTTTTTTTGTTTTTGTTCTTTTTTGTTTGTTTGTTTTGGGGGTCATACCTGGTGATGCTCGGGGATTTTTCCTGGCTTTGCATTCAGGAATTACTACTTTTGGGGGGCCAGAATGATAGTAGATAGATCCCACGTATTCAGGAATTACTCCTGGTGTTGCTTGGGAAGCCCTATGTGATGCCGGGGAGTCAAAAGTTGGTTGGATGTATAGAAGGAAAGTGCCTTACTTTCCTGTCCCAACTCAGTTTATTAGACATTTACTGAGCATCCATTATATGCTGTAAACTGAGATAAACGATATTATATAAAGATTATAAAATCCATTTTCTGGGGCTTAAGTCATAGTACAAGGGGTGTAGACACTTGTTTTGCATAAAGCCACCTCTAGCTGGATCTCCAGCACTACATATGGTCCCTGAGCCACACCAGGTTATTTATTACATTATCATTGTATTATTTATACGTTTCATTTATTATTCATCATTTATCGGGTGTCTTCCTGAGTCAGACCCAAGTGTGAGCCCTGAGCACAGCTAAGACCCCAAAACTCTTATAAAACAAAACAAAATCTATTTTTTAAAAATCTGTTATGTAGTTTTTGACCATGCATGGTTGTGCTCAGGGGACCATATAGGGTACTGGGGATTGAACCTGGGTTGGCGTCACGCGAGGTAAATGCCGTGCCCACTGTGCTATAGCTCCAGCTCCCTTTGTCATTTGTTCTTTCCACTCCCTTAAACTACCTCTTACTGCCTAAAACTTCCATTTGAAGTTGTTTGTTTGTTTATTCATTACACACCTTTTTGTATTTTGGGAGGGGGTTCTGACTCCTGGCTTTGTGCTTATAACTCCCAGCCATGCCAGGGAATTGAACCCAGACCTTCTGCATGCGAAGTATTCCTCCCAGTCCTTTAATCTTCCCAGCCCAGTGGGTTTTTTCCCTTTTCTTTCCCTTTCCTTCCCTTCTTTTTCTTTTTTTTGTTTTATTTCCTTATTTTTTCTCTTCCCTTTTCCTCCTCCTTTCCTACCCTTTATGTCCCTTCCCCTACCTTTCCCTCTTTCCCTGCTCTCCCTCTCCCTTTCTCTTCTCCAGGAATCAGGCACATGGCGTCACACATGCAAAGCAAGTACTCTACTGGTGAGCCATATCCCAATCTTGTGACTACCTTTTCAATTTCATGCATAGGAATGTACATGAAACCTTGGTAAATATTTCAAATTAGTTTCTTTAGCCAGTTAATGAAGTTGACTGTTGTCCATGGGGAGAGTTAACTGCACCATGTATACAAAAACTAACCTGAAAAACCAAAAAATCAGACAGGTCTTGACCTCTTGGGATATTGTTTCTTTCTGGGGAAGATGAAATAAGTGAATGGAGAGCACATGAATCATAGTAAGACAAAAGTTGGCTACAGGCTCATATTTCTACTTTTGTTTGGGGGTCATACTCAGCTGTTACATCTAGCGGTACCATGTGGTGACAGCTAGAAATTGGGCCTCCCTCATGCAAAGTATGCCCTTGGCGCTTTGGACTATCTCTCTTGAGTCATATTTCTGTATAGTACTGCATGTGGTTTTGAGTGGTTCCCAGAAGTACTAAGTCAAAAATGTCTGTTATCTTTTAGCATCCTGACTAAAGCTAAGGAGTGGGAGTAGCAGTTTTAATCTTTTAATCTTCAAGCACTGTAATTTTCATTGTAATTTTCAGACCTCTTAGAAGAGGCAGATGATGATAGTGTCTCAGTATTCTGCTGTGTTCAGTTTCAAGTTCTCCTGCCCTTGGAATTCCTTTGTGCCCTTAGCTTCTTCCTTTCCTAGCATTAGTTCCCTCACATGGGTGCTTCTTTGGAATAGTTGGTGGTAGGCTGAGGTCATTAGCAAAGGCTTTTGGAGGTGAATTTTCAGCAAGAGTTTCAAAGGTGTGGTGGAGAGGAAGCAGTAGCATATCTTGGTTTGAAAACGTGATTTATCTCAAGGTTTAGAACCCAGATCAGTTTGCTCACAGATTCTTCTGCCTCCCAGTGGTGTTTCCTGAAAGCCGAAGATAAGCACCAAGTAGTATGAATCAAGGATAGAGTAATTTGACAGTACTTGGCTTTACTTGGTTTGATACTGTTAAGAATTGTAAACCAGTACTGTTGAGTAAGAGGAACAGTGGTATAAAGAAAAGAAAATGGACTTTGGAGTCAGAATATCATAGGTTCAAATCCCAATTTTATATTTAGTGTCCATAGGAAAGCTGCTCCATTTTGGAGGCTTGCATTTCTCATTTGCAATAATCTCTCCATTTCTTATGGCAATACAGGTGATAAAACTTGTCAGTGCTATATTTTTTTTTTCTTTTTGCGTCACACCTGGCGCTGCACAGGGGTTACTTCAGACTCTCCACTCAGGAATTATTCCTGGCGGTGCTCAGGGGACCATACAGGATGCTGGGAATTGAACCCGGGTCAGCTGCGTGCAAGGCAAATGCCCTACCTGCTGTGCTATTGCTCCAGCCCCAGTGCTGTATTTTGTAGGACTTTTATGATCATAATTACTTGGTGTGAAAGCAACTACTTAGTACAGAGTCTCTGTAAATGTTACTCATCTTTTCTTTCTAAGTAAAAATGAAATGATACTAATTGCTTTGAGGTTTTTATACAAAGGGTAAAGGAGACTAACCTGGAGACTGCTTTGCAAGCTAGGTGTAAGATAATTAAAGTCTAGAGTAGAGTGCCAATTGTGGAAAATCATGGACAGACTTGAAAGTTAATAAAATAATAGTATGATTTGGTGAGAATTAGAACTGTTGGTGGGGGGCTGGAGTAATTGTACAGTTGATAGGGTGCTTGCCTTGCATGAGGCTCTCCTGGGTTCAATCCCCAGCATCTCAAATGGTCCCCTGAGTCTCACCAGGAGTGGTTCCTGAGCACCACTAGGTATGGCCTCAAAATAAGACAAAGACTGATAGTGAAAGAATGTTAAATTGGCTTATGAGGTTGATCAGGATAAAAATAAAATTAAAAAACAGCATTTGATTGGGAGATGGAATAAGACTAAAGCCTTTTTGGGGAACTCCCTAGGTTCTGTGTGAGGTAAGCCTTTGTTATTGTAATGTCATCTTTTTTGTAGAGATGGGGAACCATACTTGGCTGTTCTGCTGGGAAAGGTGGCTATTCTCAGTGTGGTGCTTGGAGGCCAAGCCCTGTAATACTTATGTGGTGGGAGTCAAATCTGCAGCTCCCATGTGCAGTGCAAACATTCCAGCCCCTTGAGCTATATTTCCAGCCTGACATCTCTTTCTGAAAGTAGAAGCTGCTTCTCTTGGTTTTTTTTTGGGGGGGGGGGGAGGGAGCAATGAGCCACACACGGCAGTACCCAAATGCTATTCCTGGCTTTGTGCTTAATGGGACCATATGAAGAGCCAGGGAATGAACTAGAGAGGGCCATATGCAAGGCAAGCACTTTAACCACTGTACTATATCTTTCCTCCCTTTGTGTGTGTGTGTATATGTGTGTATTTGGGTTTTGGGCCACATCTGGATGTACTCAGGTTTTAGTCCTGGCTCCATGCTCAAGAATCATATTTGTTGGTGCTCAGGGGACTATATGTGGTACCAGAGATTGAACTTGGGTAAACAACATACAAGGTAGATGCCCTACTCACTGTAGTTCTAGCCTCACTCTGTATTTATTTTTTTAAAAAATTTGAATCGTTGTAACTTAAAAAGTATTATTTTCAGGTGTACAGTGTTCCAACACCAGTCCCTTCATCAGTGTCCACTTCTTTTCCCTCCTGTATATTGTTTTTTTTTGGTGGGGGGATAGTGTTTGGGCCACACCTTGTGATACTCAGGGGTTATTCCTGGCTCTGCACTCAAGAATCAAACCTGGCAGTCCTTGGGGGACTGTATAGGATGCCTGGGATTGAACCTGGGTCAGCTGCATGCAAAGCAAGTGCCTTACCTGCTATACTATTTTCCCAGCCCCTGCCTCCTTTGTATTCTTAAAGGATCTTTGTTTCATGTATTTCATGTGACACTTGATATTTTTGAGTGACAAGGGAGCTGAAGACAATTGTATGACATTCTGGGCATTGAAATAACCATGATTTTATTAGGTTATGATGAAGATGACTATGATGCTGATTGTGAAGACATTGATTGCAAGTTGATGCCTCCTCCACCCCCACCTCCAGGACCAATGAAGAAGGATAAGGACCAGGATGCTATTATCACTGGTTAGTAGAGCCTGTCTGCTTTGACTTAGGGACAAGTTTCATTCAAGTTCAGGCTTTTGCCATGTACACATTGGAAACTAAGAATTAAGGTGCTCAGGAAAGGTAGAATTTGTGATTAGAAGTGATTGATACAATTTTTGACATTTTTTATTGAAAGGGAGTTTTTATTTCAACAACAGTAATTTAACATGCACCCAAGAAAAACAAAACATACTTTTACACTTGGAGAATCTGATTCAGAATATCCAGGGTAGATGGCAGGAATTTTAAACAGTTCTCTAAGAAATATATGATTTGTGAACTGGTATTTGGAGACGATTTAGATGACTTTAAAGTAATTGATTAGGGCAGGAGCAATAGTACAGTGGATAAGGCATTTACCGTGAATGTGTTTGATGCGAGTTCAATTGTCAGTACTCCATATGGTTGGTTCCCTTAGCACTGTCAGGGGTGGTCCCTGAGTGCTGCTGGATGTGACCCCAAAACTATATAGTCAATTTTGGCAGTACCTTCCGTGATCATCTTAGCTTTTTCTGTATCTAATAACCCTGTGTTAGCTAGTTCCGGAAAGAGTAGTGTTTCCTGCATTTGATCTCCTGCATTTTGAGGATTTGGTAATGTATGTTTCTATCCTAGTTTTAAGTGATTTCCTCTAAACATTCTCCAGCTTAAAGACTCCCTGAACTGATCGTGATAAGGCATGACTGCTAGAGAAGTGTTACATAATTTTGTTATTGGTTACATTTCTTTAACCTAATTATAGAAAGTAGTAAATGTAGTAATAGTGTTTGTTTTCTCTTATTACAACCCTAGGGTACCAGGTTCAAGGTGAGTTGGGGATGGTGGGAGATAATGAATTGGAATGAATATTTTGGGTGGTGTTCTAGTAATGGGTAATTGGAACTACATCCCCTTAGAGGATTAGAACTATATCCTCTAAGCCATGTATATGGCTTAGACTGGATATTGGCTGAATTTGAGGAAATATGCACACAGTTACATGCCAAAGGGGTCTCTCTTCCTTGTTGCAGTGTCTGAGGATGGAGAAGGCATCATCTTGCCCTCCATCATTGCTCCTTCCTCTTTGGCCTCAGAGAAAGTGGACTTCAGTAGTTCCTCTGACTCAGAATCTGACATGGGACCTCAGGAAGCATCACAGACAGAATCTGAAGATGGAAAGCTGACCCTACCATTGGCTGGGATTATGCAGCATGATGCCACCAAGCTGTTGCCAAGTGTCACAGAACTTTTCCCAGAATTTCGGCCTGGGAAGGTATGTTCCTTCGTTCATTCATTCGTTTCTCCTTCCCTCCTTTTTTCTCCTTCCATCCCTCCCTCTTCTTCCTTCCCTCCCTTCTTTCATCCCACCAACTCTCCCTCTCTCCCTTTCTCTCTTTCTCTTTTCTTTCTATTTTTGCACCTGGTATTGTTTAGGGCTAACTCCTGGCTCTGTGCTAAGGGATCACTTCTCTGTGCTCAAGGGATGCTATGGACTGCCAGGGATTGAACCCAGGGTAGATACATGTAAGGCAAATGCCCTACCCCTTGCTATACTATAGTTCTGGCCCCTTTACTTTCTTAATGTTTTTTTTTTTTTTTGCTGGAGGAAAAGAGATGAGGTATGGGGTGAGCGTGGTTCCCAAGCAATATTAAGAAGCCTGGAAATGGCCCTGGGTCAACTGGGCCAGATAGTTTAGGGTTTGAGCCTATTAGGGACATCAGGACCATACCCAGCAATGCTAGAGTCCTCCAGGGCTATACCCAGTGGTACCCAGGGCCATGCGCTAGGCATAGGACCAGGGAGGTTACTTAAAGGGTTGGAGCACATGAATCCCAGGTTTGATTTCCTGCTTTGCGTGATTTCCCAGACACCCAGGCAGAAGTAGTCCCTGAGCACCACTGGGTGTGATACAAAACAGAAATTGTTGAGTATTTGGAATTCTGCTCAGGAAGACCCCTCCATACCATGGGAGGCTTCACCTTTAACCCTTTCTATTTTCTTAAAACTTTCTGAGTTAGAAAAAGAATTTCTGAGTATAGAATAGTTTGTAAAACTTAATTTTTTCATTAGTGCTGTGGTGTTACAGGTCTTTTTATTTAAGTTGTATACATGTAATTTATGTATTTCTCATTAGAAATTGATCTTGCTGACTAAAAGGAACTAGTCCAAATTATTAAGGTATACGTCTTCTCTTTATTGGTAAATGTTATAAATTTGAATTTAGCACTCAAATTTGGTAAATTCAGTAATATTTTGGGGGGGTTGATGGCATATCCAGTAGTGCTCATGGGCTACCCCAGGCTCTGTAGTCAAGAGGGACCCTTATGGTGCTTGAGGAAGCATAATGTGGTGCCAAGAGTGAAACCAGGGTTAGATGTGTGCAACGTAAGTGCCTTATACTCTATATTATCTCTCTGGCCCCAAAATGTTATACTATGACTTTAGCGCTCTGTGGTTCTTTCCCACAGTTGAATAGATGTCTTATCTCGATTTCCAGGTACAATATTATTGTTTTCTTCTCTGACATTATATCTCTAACATATCCAGTAGTGCTCATGGGCTACTCCAGGCTCTGTAGTCAAGAGGGACCCTGACGGTGCTTGAGGAAGCATAATGTGGTGCCAAGAGTTAAACCAGGGTTTAATGTTTAATGTTCTATGTTTCTAGGTATTGCGCTTCCTACGTCTTTTTGGACCAGGCAAGAATGTCCCATCAGTTTGGCGGAGTGCTCGGAGAAAAAGAAAAAAGAAGCACCGTGAGCTGATACAGGAAGAACAGACCCAGGAGGTGGAAAGCTCAGTAGACTTAGAAGTTGACCAGAAGTCTTTGTGGAACTATGACTATGCTCCACCACCACCTCCGGAGCAGTGTCTTTCTGATGATGAAGTAGGCAAAATTAAAGACCTGGGATTAAGACCTATGAGGGAAACAAATGAGTTCTCTTTGGCTTTTTTATGTCTAAGTTGGAAATACCTCAATAGTCAGATTTCATACTGACTAGCGATAGGTAATTATGAATTTAATACTCATTTAAGGCTCTCCTTTCCCTATTTAAAATGTGTTAGAAGCCATCAAATGGTAATTCAATACATGCACCAGTAAATATGGAGGTTTGAATGATAGGCAGTGTGCTGTGCTATATCGCCAGTTTTTACATTCTAACTCCAATCCTGTTTGAGACTCATCCTTGTGGCACCTTTGGGGTTCTCTCCTACCTCTTAAACTTTAGATAGCTTTAGGACATCCAAGTTGGACAACAGGGCAGAACATCCTCCTCCCCTTCTACTTTGTTCTTTTACAGATCACAATGATGGCTCCCTTGGAGTCCAAGTTTTCCCAATCAACTGGAGATATAGATAAAGTGACAGATACTAAACCAAGAGTGGCTGAGTGGCGTTATGGGCCTGCTCGACTATGGTATGATATGCTGGGTGTCTCTGAAGATGGCAGTGGGTTTGACTATGGCTTCAAACTAAGAAAGATGGAACATGAACCTGTTATAAAATGTAGAACAGTAGAGGTAAGCAACACTGGTATGTGAAAAAGAGCTACTATGTCCGGCGCCTTTCAGACTTACTTTTCCATTGGGAAGTGATTTGGTGGGACATCCAGAGCTGTTAAGGGGTTACTCCTGGCTCTGAGCTCAGGGATCATTCCTGGTGGTGCTTGGAGGACTATCTGGGATGCCAGGGATTGAACCTGGGTTGGCCATGTGAAATGCAAGTGCTACCAGAGATTCTCTATCTCTGGCCTGACAATAAAGTGTTATTTATTTATTTTTTTTTGCTTTTTGGGTCACACCTGGTGATGCACAGGGGTTACTCCTGGCTCTGCACTCAGGATTTACTCCTGGCAGTGCTCAGGGGACCACATGGGATGCTGGGAATTGAACCTGGGTCGGCTGCGTGCAAGGCAAACACCTACTTGCTGTGCTATCTCCCCAGCCCTGACAATAAGGTGTTTTAATAAGATTTTTTTTGGTAAGATATATTGTCCTGGAGATTAGGCCTCATTGCAAAGGTCCTGTTTATGAAATTAGTGGGAGAAAGAACCCAAATACTCTATCATATCATTATCGAGTTCTTTTCTCAAGTCATAGATCTGATGTAGGTTTTGGGAGTAGGAACTTTGACAAGTGACTTGGGATTTGTTCTTCCTCTGTTCATAAAGGACTTAAAGAAATTTGAGGAAGGCAGTGGCGTGGATCTTCTGGCTGATGAAAACTTCCTGATGGTGACACAGTTGCATTGGGAAGATGATATCATCTGGGATGGAGAGGATGTCAAACACAAGGGGACAAAACCTCAACGTGCAAGCCTCGCAGGCTGGCTTCCTTCCAGTATGACGAGGAATGCCATGGCTTATAATGTGCAGCAAGGTGTGTTTCTATGCCAGCTGTCTCCTGCACACTAGTCTTCATGTCACTTTCAGTGCACTGAACTGTTGAATGACATTGAAATGTTTGGATCTGAACCCTGATTGTATTCTGTAATAGGTTTTTTTCTGTTGTTTTGGGGCCACACCCAGTGGTGCTCAGGGTTACTACTGGCTCTGTGCTCAGGAATAATTCCTGGTGGACTCCGGGGAGCATATGGAATGCCAGGGATTGAATCTGGATAGGCTTTGTGAAATTGAGGTGCCTTACCCACAGTATTATTTCTCTGGCCTTGTACATTTTTAAAAATATTTTACCCTTGCATATATTCCTTCTCTATTTTTCTTGTTGTATGATGGTTGGGGTCTGCACACACACTTTATTGAGGTACTCACAGAAGGATAAAGTCTTTCAGTTGTGTGCTAGCACACATGCTTACTGAGGGTTGCACTCTTCTCACTTGTGATCACTGAGAGAGGTTGAAGCTGTACTCAAAACAACTTACTGGGGGGCCACACCCTTTTGAACTGCTAGAGACCTCTGGATCTGTGGTGCAGTTGGAAATCACTTTGCAGTGCTGGGGTTCTAATTCCAAATCTAACAAGATCCTACTCAGAGCTTCAACACCAGGAATTAAGGGGTTCAGCCATTAAGTCATCTTCTAGCGCCCCCCCCATGAGTTTTTCATAATACTTAATAAGTTAAATATACTATGATTTCTCATTAGAAAAAAATGTGAAAAGGACTTTTTTTCAACTATTGGCCACACCTGATGGAGCTCAGAGCTTACTCCTGGCTCTGTGCTCAAGGGACCATATGCATTGCCAGGTATTGAACTAGGGTCATCTTCATGCAAAGGAAAGAACCTTAATCCCAGTGGCCCCAAGACAATTAATTTGAAGTTAAAAATCTTTTTGAAAGGCACTTTTTTGTTTTGGGTCTCATCTGGCGATGCTCAGGGGTTACTCCTGGGTCTGCATTCAGGAATCCTGGCAATGCTCGGGGAACTGTTTGGGATGCTGGAGATTGAACCTGGGTCTGCCTTATGCATGGCAAGCATGCTACCCACTGTACTGGCTCTTGCTTCTGGCCCCCAAGGGTGACTGCTTTATGGTTTTTGTTTCCTTGTCTTTGTTATTGGTATAGAGAATTTGTTAATATCCTTTGTCTTTATTGTTCTAGAAGGGTTAAAAGAAAGGGTTAGAAAGATAGCAGGACCAGAGTGATAGTACAGTGTGTAGGGCACTTACCTCGTATGTGGCCCCCGTGGGTTCGATCCCGCCATCCCATATAGTCTCTTAGCAGTACCAGGAGTGATCCCTGAGCCCAGAGGCAAGAGTAAGCTCTGAGTTTTGCTGGGTGTGGTCCAAAACAACAACAAAAACAATAAGATGGTATACTTAATGTAGACAACTTTGAAAATACAGGACAATGTCCAAAATTTTAGCAACTATAATTTTTTGGTAACCTTTTCAGTTTTCTTTCTTCCTTTTAGCTTATGGTTGAGCACATTTCTATAGATACAATATTGTATATTGTGCTTTTCATTTAATTATTCTATGTCATTGAAAGTTTTCATAAAAATGCCTAGTAACAGGAAACTAATTGTTTTAGTTACAACTGGCTGTGTTCAGGGCTTACTATGGCTCTGTGCTCAGGAATCAGTCCTGGTGGTGTTCAGAGACCATAAGGAGTACTGGGTCTTGGGTCAGAGTCATACAAAGCAAGCAACTTAACAATGTTCTATTCAGCCCTCAGGAAACTCATTTTAAGTGGAAAAAGATATGAGCTAGCATATTTCATAACCTGTTTCTGTAAATAAAAAAGATGCCATGTAATCAAAGAAAGCTAGAATAGATGTACAGATTCACAGTGGTTATTCTTATATTACAGACAGATTGGATTGGATTGGATTGGATTGGATTTAAAGGGCTTTCCCTAGTGATACTTGGGAGCTCAGGGGTCACTCCTGGCAATACTCAGTGCAGTGATTTGGTGCTCTGGTGGTGCTGGTAGAGTGGCCCTGGTGGTGGCCCTCATACATGTAGGAAAGCACTTGATCTCTTTTAGCTATCTACTCAGCCCAACAGCTTAGTGTTCATCAGATATTTATGTATTTTCCAATTTTCTATTTAACCTGGGTGATTTTTATATTTCAGAGGAAAACCAGAAATGTCTTATCCCCCCCCCTTTATTGTTGTAATGACCAGTGGTCATATAGTTGGCTGCAGTACTTGCACACCTAGCTTTAGTGCTCCGAGAAGGCTGCACCACCTATGTTGAATGTGCACTTTGGTTGTACTTGCTAGGGATTGCATACTTGGTTGCAGTGCTTGTGTACTTGGTTACAATGCTTTAGGTGTGCTTTCAAATATGTTGATGCACACACTGGAGATAATACACTTTTTGTTGTGGTATTAGGGCCCCACTGGCAATTTTTGGTCAACTGGCCTGGAGGTTCAGTTCACGGAACTGATGTGCTACTTGGGCCCTGCAGTTCTGGGGATACCTGGGCCACAGTAGCAGTGCTGGGAGGACTATGTGTGGTGCTGGAAATTGAACTTGGGTCGGATGCTCACTAGGAATATGCCTTAACCACTCTAGCTCCTGTCCTCTCTCCTTGAATTTTTCAAGTGAAAAATATGCTGTTCAACTTCGTAGATACTTTTCTCACAAAGACACAGGTGCAGTTGTATATGGGAGACTTTCTCTGTGATGAATGTTCACAAATTCCCTATACCAATAATCCCTGAATGCTACTTAGCATGAAAAAATAAGAAGGAAAAATAGTCTGTTGACTAGGTCACTTTTTAGTAGCCAATGAGTAACTACTTACTTTTGCTCCTTTTCCTTTTTCTAGAATCATGATTAAAAGGAATTACTTGTCTATTATTGAGTCTTTCCCCTGTTTTGAATAGGTTTCGCAGCCACTTTGGATGATGACAAGCCTTGGTATTCCATTTTCCCCATTGACAATGAGGAGCTAGTATATGGACGCTGGGAGGACAATATCATTTGGGATGCCCAGGCCATGCCCCGACTGTTGGAGCCTCCTATTTTGACACTTGATCCCAATGATGAAAACCTTATTTTGGGTATGATTGGTACTGGCATGGACCAGAGTTCCTCATCCATAATTGACAACTTGCTGGTAATGTTTAAGGGTAACCAGAAAGGAAATGTGAAGGGTTGGAAAGGTCAAGACTAGAAGCTTCAAGGTAGTCATTTTAAGGAAGGAAGTTGTGGCTTGATTTTGAGTATTTAGGTATTATTTAGGGAAAACTCACAGTTTAGGAATGTTGGAAAGCATGTTTGAGGTGATACAAGTATACAAGACATACACTTTACCACTGAGCCATGTCCCTGGCCTAGTTTGTTTAGTGTGAATCATGCACTAGAAGGGTCTAGTGTGGGGTGAGATACCTGGTTAGGAGCTGCACAGATGGCAGTAGGAAAGATGCATCTTCAGAGATAGCAACTCCAGAGTAGCTTTTGTTTTATCTGTAGAAATACCTGATGAGAAGGAAGAGGCTGCTTCTAACTCCCCCTCCAAGGAGAATAAGAAGGAGTCATCTCTGAAAAAGAGTCGGATTCTCTTAGGGAAAACAGGAGTCATCAAGGAAGAACCACAGCAGGTCTATAAAGGGGAAAGGGACTTGATATTTTGATCAACAAAGAAAGGTAATGGGGACAGATAGTCTGACTGAGATTTGATGATCTGTTATTAGAACATGTCTCAGCCAGAAGTGAAAGATCCATGGAATCTCTCTAATGATGAGTATTACTACCCTAAGCAACAGGGTCTTCGAGGCACCTTTGGAGGAAATATTATCCAGGTAAAAATGGCTTTTGTTTTGTTTTGGGGCCATACCCAGTGAGTCTCAGGGCTTAGTCCTGGCTCTGCTCTCAGGGATGCTCCTGCTGGCGGCACTTGGGGGATCGTATGTAGTGCTGGGGTTTGGCCATGTACAAGGCAAATACCCTACCCGCTGTATTACTGTTTTGGCCCTTGTTTTTTTTTTCCTGTGGTAGATGGGAACCACTATTTTATGTTGATGGGGAATATGGGTAAACTATGTCTAGACTGGAGTTCCTACTTAATTTGAACCCTTGTATTTCCTGTCTTAGCATTCAATTCCTGCTGTGGAATTACGGCAGCCCTTCTTTCCCACCCATATGGGACCTATCAAACTCCGACAGTTCCATCGTCCACCTCTGAAAAAGTATTCCTTTGGGGCACTGTCTCAGCCAGGTCCTCACTCAGTCCAACCCTTATTAAAGCACATCAAAAAAAAGGCCAAGGTATGATTGAAGCCTGCTTGGGGGAAAACCTTGTATAAAAGACATTGGAGTATAAATTAGAGTTGACTATATATTAGACATGAGGGAATTACTGTTTTCTCAGATACTATAGAATGTTACTGTGGTTCTTTAGGAGTGTCCTTTTTCTTAGATATCCGCAAAAAATACAAGTGGAAGTATCTGCTCACAAACTTTGAAAAATAACTCTGTAGAATTTATAGAAAGATAAAGAAAAATTGAGGCAAAGTACAAATAACTATAGGTGATAGGATAGTGAATGTTTATAGTACTATTCTTTCCACTTTGCTATGTGTTTGAAAATGTTTACAATTTAATGGGAAAAAAGTAAAGAAAATCTTTGTTTTGGTTGTCTCAAATGGACAGCTTTAATGTTTGTAGATCTGTCCCATCCTAGGTTGTAGACTGTATGCTTTCTTTTCTGAGCAGATGAGAGAACAAGAGAGACAAGCTTCAGGTGGTGGAGAGATGTTCTTTATGCGCACACCTCAGGATCTCACTGGCAAAGATGGAGACCTAATTCTTGCAGAGTACAGTGAGGAGAATGGGCCATTAATGATGCAGGTTGGCATGGCAACAAAGATTAAAAACTACTATAAGAGGGTGAGTATCTATTTAGAAAATCTTTGTTGTTAATGCAGATGTAGTTTGATGTCTAGTCATACTCTGAACATATACTTTGTTCTTTATGCACTAAAAATTCTCAGAAGAAGGGAATGGTATTTTATGTAGTTAGAAATATTACTGAAATGTCATGCTTGTAGGATATTTTGAGGTGCTTTGTTGTTGTGGTGCTCAGGGACCCAGACCCCACTTGGCAGTGCTTGCTAGGATGAGGACCAGAGCTAAGTAGGTGATGCTGTGTTTGAACCACACATGATCTGTGCTGCAGGACATATATATGGTTGCTGAAGTTTGAGCTCATGTGGTCTGTCAGTTGAGCCACATTCCTAGCCCCATAACTTGTGTGGCTCAGATTGATGATATTCTAATAGAAACTGGGTCTGCTATTTTTCTTACAGAAACCTGGAAAAGATCCAGGAGCACCAGATTGTAAGTATGGAGAAACTGTTTACTGCCATACATCTCCTTTCCTGGGCTCTCTTCATCCTGGACAGTTATTGCAGGTGAGGGATTACTTCCTATTAAAACTCTTTTTTTTAACTATTCTTTTTTTAACTACTACTCTTTTTAAAGAAATGAATGAGTCAGCCCAGAAAATCAGCTCTAGTTGAGAATCATAGATTATTTATACATCAATGTGAGGGAGATTAATATCCCAAATGGAGATAATTCAAAAACATTTTAAAATTCTTACAAATCTGGTTCCTCAGTTATGTTTTCCTTTCTTTTTTTTGAAATTATGACAAAATTAAAGTAATATTTAATAAAAAATATTTTTTTAATGTAGGAGTACTGCTATTTTATTCAGCCACCGATTAGCTGATTGAATTGTGCATGAACTCCACTGTTTTACTTCCTTTTCGTTTTTGGGTTACACCTGGCAGTGCTTAGGGATTACTCTTGGCTCTGTGCTCCTACCAGTGCTTAAGGTGCTAGGGATTGAACTGTGGTTGGCCATATGCAAGGCAAGCACCTTAATCCTTGTACTATCTTTCAGGCCTCAATTGTGTTATTCTTAAGCTAAATTTGAAAGTCTGCTGGTAAACTTTTTTTTGGGGGTCACACCCAGCAATACACAGGGGTTACTCCTGACTCTACACTCAGGAATCACTCCTGGCAGTGCTCAGGGACCATATGGGTTGCTGGGAATCGAACCCGGCTCAGCCACGTGCAAGGCAAGGCAAATGCCCTACCCGCTGTGCTATCACTCCAGCCTCTCTGGTAAACTTTTTAATGTAGGCATTCATTTTAATATCTTTCTTTTATTTTTGGAGGGGGCCTCCCCAGCAGTGCTGGGATAATTTGGGTTTTATTTGGCAATGTTCAAGAAGCCATGAGGTGTGGGGGATTGAACTGGAGGACGTGTACATACCAAGCATTTGCTCCAGCCATCTCCCTGCTCCTAAATAGTGTTTATTGGTAAGAAGTTATCCAGGATGGCACAGGGAAATCAACCTCAGATTAATAATAATTTGCAATAGTTTAATTTCTAAATATTCATATATTACAAAATTGGTATGTTTTGATTATATTAGTCATAGTCACTTGTGGGGATTTGAGGCCATTCCCAATGATGGTGTTGGCCACGTAGTATGGTGCTGCTTTGTCCCAGCAGTGCTGAGCATCACCGCTAGGGCAATTCCAGTGGTAAGGCATGCTGTGCTGGGAATAAAACTAAGGGCCTTGCATGTACTCCACCACTTTGAACTATCTCCCAAGCTCGAGTTGCTGTCATTTTAAATATTTAGCCAAGCTGGATTATTTATTTTCAGTTCCCAGCCATAGTGAGGTACATCCTCCCCCTCATATTTTTTGTTTGGGGGCCATACCCAGTGGTGCTCCGGGCACTTTCCTATCTCTGGCTAAGGGATCACTCCTGGGTGAGTGTTGGGGGACCATATGTGCTGTTGTGTTTGATTCAAGCCCAGGTCAGCTGTGTGCAAGGCCAAGTGTTCTACCTGCTGTATTTTCTCTCCAGTCCCTCCCTTTATTTTACTTCATTATTTTTGGATGGGCCACATCTGGAGGTGCTCTTAAGGTTACTCCTGGCTCTACACTCAGGAATTACTTCTGGTGAGCTTCGGGGACCGTATGGGATGCTGGGGACCGAACCTGGGTTGGCTGTGCACAATACAAGCGTCATACCCTCTGTACTATCTCTCCGGCACTCCTTTACTTTAAACGGTATAGAGAGTTCCTCTGGTAGCCCAATTTTTACCTATTAAGAGAAGTAATAGGTTCTCTTACTAGAACCTATTTGTGTATGATGTGAGTAAATCCTTGTTCTCTCCTTCCTCATATTTTTTTAAACTCTAGCTCATTTCTCTTGCCAATATTCCATTTTCTCTAATCTGGTATGTAATTTGTTTCATTATTTCGATTGCTTATTCTAATAAGTCTTCTATAAATTATGAAGTCCTTTTTCATGTTTCATGTTTTTCTTTTTTTGGTTTTTCAACCCAATACCACGGTGCTCACTCCAACCAAGAAGTTTAGGGGGCCATGTGGTGCTGAGGATCAAACTCTGGCCTCCATCCAGCATGCAAAAAATGTGCACATATCCTTTGAGCTATCTGCCTGGTCCTACTTTTCTTTATTTTATAGTTCATTTCCCACCAGTATTTTTAAACTATCATCTATTTGCTGTTTCTGTATTATTCCTCTCCCCTTAACTCTCAGTTAAGATTCTTTTTTGAGTGCTAGGGATCAAATCCAGGGCTTCATAGTCGTGAAACATGCTCTACCATTGAACCTGTTCTGTGTTGAAGTTTTCTGCCCGTTCATCTTCTTTTGTGATTACTTTTGTATTTGTTTTTGAGTTTTTTGGCCACGCACTGCAGTACTCAGGAGTTACTCCTAACTCTGCATTCAGCAATCACTCCTGGCGGCTTCAGGGAACCATATGGGATGGTAGGGGTGGAACCCGGGTTGGTCGAGTGCAAGGCAAGAGACCTGCCTGCTGTACTATCTCTCTAGCCCTGTAGACTACTTTTGTAATCCTTTAAAGATCTTTTTCAATCTTTTCTTTAGTTCTTTTTCTCCCTCTGTTCCTTATTTAGAATTTTCTTATGCTTGTGTACTTAAGAAAATCTCTTTTTGTCTGCTTTTCTGATTTCCAAGTGATTTTTCCTTAGAATCGCAGGCTTCTTTTAGCAGTTGATCCTAGCTGGCTTTTCTATTCAGACAGCAAATGTTTATGTCCGGCATGCTTAGTCTTTCTTCTCTAGTGTACTTTCTACATAATAATTCAGCTTGTATATATAAACTGATGTTTAATTGTTTAATTTAGATTTATTAAATGATTGCATATTGGATAATTAAAATTTAAATAAAATTTAAGTATAACATTAAGTGGTAATATACTACTTGTTAGCTTATAAAGTGATTGTCATATATCATCTTCATAGCAATACTGTGAGGTTTAAGCATTTTGTATGTTCTATAGATGAGGAAAGTTAGGCTTCGAGATAATAAATAATGTAAAAAATAACATACCAGAGCCAGTATCGTCTCACTCCAAATCTTCTAGTTTCACCATTATTGACTTTTTTTGCAGAAATTAAATTTTTGGGCAAAACCCCAGTGTTCAGATGCTGTTCCTGGCTCTGTGGTGATTCCTGGTGGTGCTGGAGAAGCACATGTAGTGTTGGGGTTGGCCATATGCATGGCAAGTGCTTTGATTCCAGTACTATTTCTCTGGCCCAAAGGTTCTTTTGTTTGTTTTACTTTTTTTTTCTTTTTGGGTCACACCCGGCGATGCTCAGGGGTTACTCCTGACTCTGCACTCAGGAATCACTACTGGCAGTGCTTGGGGGAACATATGGGATCCTGGGAATCGAACCCGGGTCAGCTATGTGCAAGGCAAATGCCCTACCTTCTGTGCTGTTGCTCCAACCCCACTTTTTTTGTTTTATTGGTTTGTTTTTGGGCCACACTTGGCAATGATCATTGGTAATCCCTGGCACTGCACTGTGGAATTACTCCTATCAGTACTTGGGGGACCATATGACATGCTGGGGATTGAACCTGGTTCAGCCACTTGCAAAGCGAATACCCTACCACTGTACTATGATTTGGGCCACACCTAGTGGTGCTCAGTGATTATTCTTGGCTCAGTGCTTGGGTTTCACTCCTGGCACTGATAGGGTGGACTTTGGTACTAAGGGTTAAACCTCGACCTGTGTACAGAGCATGCACTACAGCTTACTGAGCTATCTCCAGTGCCCACTCCAGTATTGGCTTTTGAAGATAGGCAGTGAGGAGAAATAGCTTTCTAATCCTGCTTTCTATTTTATATCATATTTTTTTCATATTTTTGGATAGACCTTAGATTGCATAATGGATAGGAATAGCAGACAAACTCCTATTTTCTTTTCTCACTAGTTGACTTAACTTCCCTAGAGCTTCTTGGTACATAATTTTTCTGTGTTTACTTTTGTTAGGCATTTGAAAACAACCTTTTTCGTGCCCCAATTTATCTTCACAAGATGCCAGAAACAGACTTTCTTATCATTCGAACAAGGCAAGGTTACTATATTCGGGAATTAGTGGATATTTTTGTGGTTGGTCAGCAGTGCCCCTTGTTTGAAGTTCCAGGGCCCAACTCCAAAAGGGCGAATACACATATTCGAGACTTTCTTCAGGTAAGAATTAAAGAGTATTGGAATTTCGGGGCATATCAGGACTTAGCAAACCATATGGGGACATAGCATGGGACGTGGACTTGGTGACATCTTTTTTCTTTTGTTTTGCTAACTGAGAAAATGAACTTGATTGTTTGACAGGTTTTTATTTACCGTCTCTTCTGGAAGAGTAAAGATCGACCACGGCGGATACGAATGGAAGATATTAAAAAAGCCTTTCCTTCACATTCTGAAAGCAGCATCCGGAAGAGATTAAAGCTCTGTGCTGACTTCAAACGCACAGGTCATTCATTGTGACTAATAGTTCGTTCTTTTTTGCCTCTTTCTAAGGAATTAATGATGCTTTCAGTCAAAGGATCAGCATATAGCTAATAAAATAGTAATTGGTAGCTATCAAAAAGAAGATAGCAATATTCTGAATTTGTAGAATCTGATTACTTTTTGATTTAACAAGAAATTTAGTAGATTTTCGGATGTCTTAGATGTAGGAAATGCAGAAGTAGGTAGTTTTGTTTTGTTTTGAGGCCATTCCCAGCGATATTCAAGGGATGCTTCTGCCTCTGCACTCAGGAATTACTCCTGGTGGTACTTGGGGAACTATATGGGAGGATGCTGGGTATCAAACCCAGGTCACTTGCATGCAAGGCAAACGCCTTACTCCTGTACTATTGTTCCAGTCCCTAGCAGGTGATTTCTTCTCCGGTCAGGCTTTTTTTTTTGGTTTGGCCTGTTAACCTTACAGGACAGTAAATGAGTTAATCTTGAATCAGTTTATTTTTTTAAATCCCTGTTGTTGTCAATGAAAGGGCCTTTGGAATTCAGCATCGCTAGAATACAGAATGGTCTTACTCCTTCTTGTCTTTTCTAGGAATGGACTCAAATTGGTGGGTGCTGAAGTCTGATTTTCGCTTGCCAACTGAAGAGGAAATCAGGGCTATGGTGTCTCCAGAGCAATGCTGTGCTTATTATAGCATGATAGCTGCAGAGCAGCGACTGAAGGTGAACATATGCCTCTTAAAAACTGTCTGTGTCTCTTGGTTATTTTCAGGAGACAACTCGTGTCCTGGGTTTAGAAATGATTACTATTGGATTGTTATCAATTATTTACAAATTTAAACAGGGTGTAGATAAATAAGTCAAATGGCTAGTGCACATGCTTTGCTTGTGGAAGACCTATATTCGAGCTCAACACGAATTGGTTCTCTGCTCCTGAGAATTGCCAGGTGAGGTTTCCTTACCCATCCAAAAAAAGAAAACTCCAAGACAAAAAATGGAGGAATTCTGTCTACATCAATTTTGTGGAAAACCTACAGTTTATCTAAAAATCTGGGGAGGCTTAATGAGGGAGTGGGGGCATATTGTTTTGAATATGATTGCTCATCCATTTGGTAGATAAAATCGTTTAGTGTACTTATTAGGCCAAAGTAGGAAATAAATAGACTAGGATAGCACAGTTTGTCACAGTGAGTTAGTAAGTCATAGTTAATAAGGATTTCCAACTTTGTTACGGGTTTTAGCTGTGTATCAGCCCATAAGTTCCTTGAAATGTGACAGTATATTTTGTAATAACCTAAGGATATAGAATGGTGATGGACATAATGAAGATTGTACAGAATGTATTCTCTGTGCTTTAATATTTTATATCTGGTATTCAACAGAACTTGGGCTTTGTGTATACCTACTTAGTCATTTTTGCATTGATTTGCCTTCTAGGATGCTGGCTATGGTGAGAAGTCCTTTTTTGCTCCAGAAGAAGAAAATGAGGAAGATTTCCAGATGAAGATAGATGATGAGGTAAGTATTTTTGTCAGTACTTGCCATACTTTTTTTAGAAAGTAGCTTTTGGAGATATGATTAATATAAGTTGAATGCTTAAAGTATATTCTTTGTTATGCTTTGATGTATATCACTTGATCACTTGACAGCCCATTACTAATCAATTTGCTCGAGCGGGTGCCAGTAACGTCTCCATTCATCCCTGTCACATGCTAGTGTAGCCCAATGGTGTCTGCTCGTTCTAGGAACGCGAATAGCCTCAAACCGATTGTTCACAGTCTTGACGAAGCCTCACAGTCCTGGGCCCTACGAAAACAGGATAAGAACGCTATTCTCCCAAAGAGGAATTAGAAGAGCTATGTTTGGAGTATCACGTTTCACTCAAATGAGAGAAAGAATCCGGAGTTCTGACCTTCGTCAACGATCAAGAATCAGGGATGCTGTCTTGTTTGCCAAGGTGTCGAAAATCAGATGGGCTGGACACATAATGAAATTTGGACACGACCGCTGGACTAGAGCCATTACCGACTGGATTCCATGGGATGTCAAAAGATTGCGTGATCGCCCACCTATGAGATGGTCAGACTTCTTCGTCAAGACCGTGACCAATCGGTTTGAGGCTATTCGTGTTCCTAGAACGAGCAGACGCCATTGGGCTACACTAGCATGTGACAGGGATGAATGGAGACATTACTGGCACCTGCTCGAGCAAATTGATGAGTAATGGGATGTCAAGTGATCAAGTGAACCAGACCAGGTGGTGCTCAGGGATTAGCTACTTTTTGCAGTGCTTAGGGAAATTGGCCGCTTTCTAGGTAAATTGTATTTATTCATTTGTTCATTTGTAATTTGGATTTTGGGCCTCGCCCAGCTGTGCTTAGGTCTTACTCTCGGCTCTGCTCAGGATCACTCTTGAGATACTAGGGATTGAACCCAGGTTGCTTACGTACAAGGGAAGTGCCTTACCTATTGTACTGACTCTGCAACCTTACTCTTTTTTAAATATAAATTAGACCCTGATACTTTGTTTTTGGGAGTGGCAGTGCTGGGGACAGTATGTACCAGGGATTGAATTTGGGGCTTTGAACATGGAGAGCATGTATTCCAGCCCTGTGGGATATTTACTTAGCCCCTACTAATTATATCATTTCCTGACTGTTTTGTGTGTACACATTGCCTTTGTCTTAATTCCCTGATTTATTTACTCTTCAGGGTCTCAGGGGAAGACAGGTTTATTCATTTATTTAAGACAGGTTTATTTTTTACCAAACCAGTGGCATAGGTAGAATGGCAGAGGTGTGCTGGTAGGGCTTGATCTAGGGATTTGTAAAGAATGCTTCTTATATCTAATTATCAGAATATCGGTCATTCTAAAGCAATGATTTTAGCAATTGGACAGTGAAATACAGTTAGCAACTTAATGTAGCTGACATCATGAGTGTAGGTGCAACACTGTCATTAAGAACTCACCAAGGGCTGAAATGATGGTACAGTGGGCAGGACACTGGCCTTGCATCCTGGCCAACCCAGGTTCTATCCCTGGTATCCCATATCGTTCCCCCTGAGGACCACCAGGAAATGCAAATGAATGCAAAGCCAGGTATGACCCCCAAACAAAACAAGAGAAGAACTCTCACCGAGAAATAAGAAAGACATCAGATTATTTTAATCATGTGGAATATAATTTAATGAAACAAATGGACTATCAAGAAACTACTAGACTCAGTGAAAACTGGTAATTACAGGAAAGGGGAGATTAAATGGGAAGAATTAGCATTGGAGGATTTTTTGGGTGGTAGGATGGCACTGACATTTTGCTGGAGGGAATGATATTAGACACATAGGAAAAATAACCCCCTGAAATTTCATAGCATAAGCCAATGGTAAGTTAAAAATAAATACAACTGAAGCATAGGAATAGCTCAGAGGGCTGGAGCTCTTGCTTTGCATGCAGAAAATCTGGGTGTGGGTTCATTCCCTTGGATAGACCCCTGAGGCCCTTCTCCACCTAAATTGTCAGTATTCATTGGTGAGCCAAAAATTTTTTTAAAAAGGAGCTCTCAAACTAGAGAGCTGAGTAGGGTGCAAGGTTCTTTTTGCCTTGCATGTAGCTATCCCTAATTCAATCCCCAGTACTGCATGTGGTTTCCTGAGTATCATCAGGAGTGACCCCTAAGCACAGAACCAGGAATAAGCCCTCAGCACAGCTGGGTCTGTCCCAATCACAACCCCTAGCTCACAAAGAACTTTAACTAGAGCCCTAGCTTGGGTCTGAAGGTAGTAACAATATTCCACATATTCTTATTTGCCTGAGATGCTGACATTTATTTAATACCATGACTTAAGTACCGTAAGAAAGCAGTTTGGGGCCCACAGGTTTGGAGTGCAACATAGGCCAAGAGTTCAGTTGCTGATACCACTGCATGCACTCAGCACAGTTCCAGTGACTCTGGTGTTTGTTCTTTCCAAACAGTATGTACCAGACAGCTGTGCTGTCTGTGATCATGGTGCCCCAAGCAATTTTCAGCCATGCTTCAGCCAGATATGTTTAGGAAGTACAGATATTTGTGAGCATTACAGCAGCCCCTGTTAGGCATTACCAGATGTGCACAGTTCCAAGACTAAAAAAGAATGTTCCCTCTGGTGAGCATGTTTGTAAGCACCACAACTAAAGGACTGTACTCCCCCCCCTCCCCAATAAGCACCATAGCTAAATATCCCAGCCCCACAACTAGGGAGTTACAGAACCTCTAGTCGCCCCAAAAACAACAAAGGAAGGAAGGGGGAAAATTGAAAGAAGGGCCTAGAGAGAAAGCTCAGTGGACTGAGTGCATGCGTTGTGTGTGGGAGGCCCCAGTTAGATTCCTAGCACTGTGTAGTTCCCAGTCAACTCCGGGAGTGGTCCCTGATGTATAACTGAGTATAGCCCATCTCAACATCCTTAAATTAATTGCAATTTTTAAAACGTTGAATACTAAAGAGCTTTATAAACTTTTGCTCTTGTTGATATTTGGGGACAGGTTCTCCCAAGTGGTGCTCAGGAGATTTGGGGGCTCTGCCAGTGATGCTCGGCCAGTTGGGCTAGCAGTTCAATACAAGAGCCTAAGGAGACTATGCTGCATGGGTGCTATAGTGCCAGGGATACCTGGGCACCATGGTGGTGCTGGGGACCTCCGGGACTGCACTTAGCAATGTTCAGGGTACCATGTGGTACTGGCAGTTAAAGTCGGGTCGGATTCTTGCACCCTGACTACTTTGCTATCTCCCAGCATCCATGGTAGATAGTTTAATAAAGCATCAAATTGTGTACCAGACTGCCAGCAATATATTAATCATTGTGATAATAATTCTAGCCTTGTAAGTATGGGCAGAAACAAAACCAATGTTTTCCACAATCCCTAGAATCTTTTTCTACACTTCAGGTTCGTACTGCTCCTTGGAATACCACAAGGGCCTTCATTGCTGCCATGAAGGGCAAATGTCTCTTGGAGGTGACTGGGGTAGCAGATCCCACCGGGTGTGGTGAAGGGTTCTCGTATGTGAAGATTCCAAACAAACCAACACAACAGAAGGTGAGACTGTCTTTGAAAATCAAGGGAGGAAGATATGGATTGGGTAGAGGATCAGACATTGACTTACATGTCTGTTTTAAGGCATTTTGTTTAGTAGAATTCTTACCTAGGTTTTTTTTTTGAGGTAGGATGATAAAGAGCCTCAGCCAGTGAAGAAGACAGTAACGGGAACTGATGCAGACCTTCGTCGCCTTTCACTGAAAAATGCCAAGCAACTTCTTCGGAAATTTGGTGTGCCTGAGGAAGAGGTAGTTATGAAAGAGAAAAACTTAGAGGCTCCTAGGGGCTTCATATATGGAGAGAAAATCTAGGAGAGACATTTAAGAACTATCTGGAGAATTTTGTGGTGTGGGTTGTAGATGACTGTTTCTTGGATACTTTTTTTCATCAGTTGTCTTTCCAAAAGGTGTTTGTTTAACTGCTTTAAATGAACCTTTTTGTTGTGTTTTGCTTTCCTGTACATCTTGGTCCTTTGAGGCCCCCCCCCAATGATTTGTGTTTTTGATAGTGTCTTTATCTGTTTTGTAGATTAAAAAGTTGTCCCGCTGGGAAGTGATTGATGTAGTACGGACAATGTCAACAGAACAGGCCCGCTCTGGAGAGGGGCCCATGAGTAAATTTGCCCGTGGATCAAGATTTTCTGTGGCTGAGCATCAAGAGCGTTACAAAGAGGAATGCCAGCGCATCTTTGACCTTCAGAACAAGTGTGTTGTTTTAGTGCTACAGAAAACTCGAGCAGTAGGTGACGGGTTTTTTTTTGTTTTTCTGGAGACTTAGTAATGAGGAAATGGTAATTAAATATGGCATTTGTGCCAATTTGTTCCTTAGGCTTTCTCCATTTCTGAAAGTGCTCTTGTTTCAAATTTCACTTTTGTCCTTCTTACCTAAATGTCTAAGAATGCTTTATAAAGCTTTTCCCCTTTTTTGGGGGGAGGGGGGATTTGCCACAACTGGTGGTGCTTGAGTTTCGCTCATGGCAGTGTCCTGGGGTCAATGTGGTGCCTGGAATCAATGTGGCCCTCTGCATGCAGAGGATGCGCTTAGCTCTTTGATCTCTAAGGTTTTATAAAGCTTTCCTATTAAGGCTACATGTCTTAATTAATTTTGAGTATGCTTTCTAAGGTTAATTTTCTCATTTCCCTGCTCTAAAACTCCATTTCTTCATCTCTTTCCACACATTTGTATTTTTCTTTATCTTAACATTGTTTTTCTCTTTTAAGGGTTTTGTCATCCACTGAAGTCTTATCAACTGACACAGACAGCAGCTCAGCTGAAGACAGCGACTTTGAAGAAATGGGAAAGAACATTGAGAACATGTTACAGAATAAGAAAACCAGCTCTCAGCTGTCACGTGAACGGGAAGAACAGGAGCGGAAGGAACTACAGAGGATGCTGTTGGGTGAGGATAGTGTTTTCATGAACAAAAAACCATAGAATTGAAAACCATAAATAATTACACGCTAAGTTAGGCAGAACTGGAAGCAGAAGTAAGGGATGAGTATAGAGAATTCTGTAGAAGAGGTAGAGACATTATTGCCAGCATGACTTTCTCTGCCAGCTAGGATTGTTTGTAGAGCACACTCAAAGAACTGTTGTCAGTCTTAACTGCTTTTGTCTGCATCAGGACTGGCCAAGCCAGGGCTGTTAGTGCTCTATATCAAGTGAGCCTTCTAGAGATTCATCCTTAAGGATAACAGTTCTTAATACAGGGCCCATGGATCTGGCACCAGTGCTAGATAGAGCACTTGTCTTGCATGTGTGAAGGCTTGTATTCAACATCATATCCCCACCCCCAAGTACACCTGGGTGTGACCTTGGTGACCCCTAAGACTGCCAGATAAGATGCCCCCACAATATAGAAGAAACAGTTAACAGCAAGCTGCAGCTTTAGTGACAGTGAAAAAAAAGTTATAGCACAGAATATGTGGACAAATTGTGGGGAGGGAGATTCTTGTTCATCGGTGTCTTTTATTAAAAGGTTCATGACTTTCAAAGATAAAAGGATTAAAGTCACCAATTGAAAATTGCAGAAGTGGTGACTAGGAGTTTGCCTTGATGTGGCTGACCCAGGTTTGGTCTTTGGCACGCTGTATGATCCCCCAAGCCCTCATGGAGTGATCCCTGAGTGGAGAACCAGGAGTGTTCTCTGAGCACCACTGGGTGTGACCCCCAAACAAAAACAATTGCAGACGTTGAGAGTGGGAAAAGTAAATGCCTGATTGGTTTGGCATATAGAAACTTGGAGAAAAAAGAGAACAATTAAGAGTCTAAAGATTGTACTCTGGGTTGCTAGAAATACATCGGTATAATTGATTAGTAAATTTTAAGGGGGAAAGAAAGTTTAAGAAAGGAATGTATATTGTATGGAATTCTAGGATCCCTTGAGATTTCCTAGTATAGAATTTAAGCAGGTAATTGAAAAATGTATTTACTGAAAGAGGCTGAAGATGAAATTGGGACTGTGGTGCTTTCCAAGCAGTGCTTAGAGGGTCTGGGATACTTGGATACTGGACTCAGTTATGAAAGCCAGGTATGAGAGCCAGATGTTTAATGCTTAGGCTAGAGACAGTACTGGGGGCCATCAGGGCCACTTTGGCAATGCTTAGAGCCCTCTGGAACTGTAATCAGCAGCGGTGGGTGATTGGGCATGTGGTGCTGGGGATTGAATTTCGGGCCTCACTTATATGTTCCAGCCCTGTGAGATAACCCCCCAACCTCATGTGTGGTTTTTTTAAAAATGTGATCATAATCATCTTGTTTGAATTGCCCTACTGCTCTGTTGTTCAGAGGAATCAGAAAACATTTCACATCTAATACTTTTTTTACCCTATAACAAACAAGTAATTCTTTGAGATTTATTTGGTTGGGGGGGGGAGAATTGAGCAAAAATGACTGCTCAGGAGTGAACGCTGATTGTGGTTGGGGGCACCATGTGTCATGCAGAGGGTCAAGCCAGTGTCAAATGCAAACAAGGCAAGGGCTTTAAAACCCACAATACTATCATTCCCCTTTGAGATTTTTTTTTTTGCTTTTGAGCCACACTCAGCAGTATTCAGGGATTATTCCTGCCTTTGCATTCAAGGATCACTCCGGCTGGGCTCAGGGGATCATATGGGGTGCCAGAGATCAAACCCAGGTCAGCTGCATAAACAGGAAGCCCCTTACCCTCTTTACTATTGCTCCAGCCCCTCTTTTCATAACTTATAAAACTGGAACAAGGCTGGAGAGATGGCTCAACAGGCTATGTACATGTAAAGCATAGTCTGCTTTGCATGCAGGAGACCCAGGTTCAATATCTGGAACCATGCATCCCCTGAGCACCTCTAGGAGCGACCCTACTTCCCCAGCACTTCTGTTGGGTGTGGCCTCAAATCAAAATTAGATAAAATTAGAACCATTAGCAGAGGTAAAATGAAGACAAGGAAGAGCAAATCAGTGCATTGTTGGGGTTGGTCATAACTTCAGTGATTTGTATAGAATCACAGTTTTGTGAACAATTATAGCATATTGGGCTTGAAGTCTCAACTCATCCTCAAGCAAAGGACCATTTGGGTAGTAGGGGAAATGTGTGAAAATCTTTATCTGTCTTGCAGCAGCGGGCTCAGCATCAGCAGGCAATAATCACAGAGATGATGACACAGCTTCTGTAAATAGCCTTAACTCTTCTGCCACTGGCCGGTGTCTCAAGATTTACCGTACATTTCGAGATGAAGAGGGGAAAGAGTATGTTCGCTGTGAGACAGTTCGAAAGCCAGCTGTCATTGATGCCTATGTGCGCATACGGACCACAAAAGATGAGGAATTCATGTGAGCTTGATAAGGAGATTGTTAATATTGCTGGGGAATGGAGATGAGGATAGTAATTGCGTTTTCAAGATAGGATTCTGCACAGTTTCCCTTGGAAGTCTGTGCTAATTGGAAACCCTGCTGCCTCTAGGTGTTTGGGTTTGAACAGAGCCAAAACATGAGGGGAATTACAAATTTGCCAGACAATGAAGCTTGTTTTTCATTCCATATGGTTTATTTGCATTTTGGTTGCTTCTTGGCAAAAATCTTAGAAGTTATGTAGAAATTCTCATTTTGAGAAATGCTTCTGCAAATGGGAGAATACATGTGGGAAGTGGGAATGCCAGTTTATCCCTTTTTGTTAGTCTGGTTGGGTTTCTTTAGTTCTGAGATGATAGAATAGTCTTTTCTTATAGTTTTGTTTATGATTCTGTGATATTTTGTATACTTTAGTCGTAAATTCGCCCTTTTTGATGAACAACATCGTGAGGAGATGCGAAAAGAACGGCGGAGGATTCAAGAGCAACTGAGGCGGCTTAAGCGGAACCAGGAAAAAGAGAAACTTAAGGGTCCTCCTGAGAAGAAACCGAAAAAAATGAAGGAGCGTCCTGATCTAAAAGTAAGTATAATGTGGCACAGTTGTAAGTAACAAACAGAGAAGGAAAGGATTCATGCTTTCCCTTAACTACCAACATCCGTCATTATTGGGAATGAGCACAAAAAACATAGAGTTCTTGTTTAAAGGAGCCCGGAGCAATAGTACAGCAAGTAGGCACTTGCCTTGCTTGCGGCTCACCCAGGTTTGATCCCTGATATCCTGTATAGTCCCCTAAGCCCTTTAGGAGTGATCCCTGAGTGCAGAGCCAGGAGTAAGTCGTGAGCGCTGCCGAGTCTGTTTTTGTTTTTGTTTTTTGCTTTTTTGGGTCACACCCAGCGATGCACAGGGGTTACTCCTGGTTCATGCACTCAGGAATTACTCCTGGCCATGCTTGGGGGACCATATGGGATGCTGGGAATCAAACCTGGGTCGGGCCACATGCAAGGCAAACACCCTACCTGCTGTGCTATCACTCCAGCCCCGAGCACTGCCGAGTCTTACCCCCAAAACAATACACACAAAAAATTTAGTTTGAATTGATGTGGCTACTTGGGAGTAATCAATATTAGAGTGACTAACACCAGGCTTTATCTAGTATAAATAAGATTAGGTGGTGGTTTTTTATATTGCATTAGCAGTATTTTCAAGGAGTTGAGGTAGGTTTGGCGAACATGAGACACATAGACACATTTGTGTGTGTATACACAAATGTATATGTATCATAGGTTTTAAAATTATACTGAAGAATGAACAGGGCTAGGAATGTGGCTCGGTGATGGAGCACTTGCTTGGCATGTGTGAGCCACTGGGTTCAGTTCCTAGTACTGCCAAGAAATAAATAATAGGAGAAAGCATACAAAGCTCTGTGCTCAGGGATCACTCCTCGCCGGGCTCAGGGGACTAGATAAGGTACAAGGGATTAAATCCAGGTCAACTTCAAACAAAGCACAAATCTTATTTGAGGTACTACTATATCTCTCCAGCTCTATCACTCAATCACACACACACTCAATACACTCTCTCTTTCTTTGTCTTTTTGGGCCACATCTGTGACTCTGTGCTCAAGGATCTCCAGCCCTCCAGAAAAAAATTAATAAAAATAAATAAAATTTAGAAACTGAACAATTTCTTTTTAAAACCCAAATGAAGTGATAGTACACAGTGGTTAAGGTGTTTGCCTTGCACACAGCTGATCCAGGTTCGATCCTGGCATCCCATATATATCTCATATATAGCACCCCATTCCATCACTCCCAAGTCTGCCAGGGGTAATCCCCAAATGCAGAGCAAGGAGTAAAACATGAGCACTGCTGGGTGTGGCCACATCCCCCACCAAAAAAAAAAATCAAAAAGACACATCTGAACCATAGAACTGTGAAAACTGAAATCATGAGGCCCAAACTACAATAACAAAATAAAAAATGTACCTGTCAAGGAGGTAAAATGAGGATAGGACGAAAAACTGGGACAAAGGTGAGGGAAGTAGATACAGGTAATAGGAGGGATATTGGATAATTATATACCTGAAACAACCATGAATAATTTTGTAAATCATAGTACCCAAATTAAAAATTAGTTTAATGATTTTTTTTCAAATTCAAGTAAAAATAAGAAAAGAATTTACACTTCCATTTAAATTGTACACTATTGGGGCAGGAGCAATAGTACAAGCAGTTAAGGCACTTATCTCACACACAGCCAACCTGGAAGGTTCTATTATAGTGGTATTTGAGATTGCACCCCTGGTTAGGGTATGTGACGGGGTCAGAATTGGTTGTGGTATAGAAGAGGTAGTACCAGGGGTCTAGGAATCGTACTTGGCAGTATGGAGGAGTGTTAATGATCATACTCATGATCTCATGCATGTACAAGTATTCTGCCGTTGATCCGAGTACCTAGGCCCCTAATTTTATTGGTCCCCTCATTTAATTTATTTGTGGGGCTTCTGGACCAGTCCTAATTGTGCTCAGGGCTACTGGCTCTGCTCAGGAATGATGACCCCTGGCAGTGCTCAAGGGACTGTATGTGGTCCTGTGGATCCAACGGGTTGGCTGCATGCTAGGCATATACTATCTCTCCAGCACTTAATGTACCATTTCTATAGACATACTTTGTTCAATTGCTTCTGGTTGAAAGTTGTGTAGCAATTAGAGTAAAGTTCTGAGCTTCAAAGATCCTTTTTTTTTTGAAGTAAAAACATTTAATTTGGAGGGTTTTAGGAAGGGAAAGAAGGAAGAGAAAGAAACACGTTCAAGAGAGAATATAGGCTTCTCTAAAGGTGGACAGAGCCTCGGAACACATCTGAAGAGGGAAGATGTAGGTGCCACATGTGCTTGGTCATGTGGGCACAAGCAGCACATGGGTTTGCTCAGTATGTGTGTTGCTTCAAAAATTCTTAAGCTTCTCATTTCTCTCCGACTTGGTATATATTTATCTATTTCTTTTTAAAATTTTTTATTGAATATCAATAAGATAGACCATTACAAAGCTGTCATGATTGGGTTTCAGTCATACAATGATCCAACACCCATCCTTCCACCAGTATACATTTTCCATCACCATTGTCCTCCATTTCCCTCCCACTGTTCCCTCAATTCCCTCCCCCACCTGTATGGCAGGCGCTTTCATTTTTCTCTCCTTTCGTGTGTTATGGTTTGCAATATAGGTACTAAGAGATCATCATGTTTGTTCAGGGCTTCAGTATCTTTATTGGGAAGGTAAGGCTGGAGTAGATTTTTTAACTAGGTGGTAGCTTTGGGATGTGGATGTCACTGCCAAGGCTTCAGGAAGTATTGGGAGGTGGAGGGATGTAGCCTTTCGTGACCTCTAGAAAGCCTTTCAGTCACAAAACCTGCATGCCCAAATTTTCAGCAGATTATATCTTGGAGTGATAGCACAGCGGTAGGGCATTTGCTTTGCACGCAGCCAGCCCAGCCGAGCCGGGTTCAATTCCTCCGCCACTCTCAGAGAGCCTGGCAAACTACCAACAGTATCTCGCCCGCATGGCAAAGCCTGGCAAGCTACCCGTGATGTATTCCATATGCCAAACACAGTAACAACAAGTCTCAAAAAAATGGAAATGTTACTGGGCCCGCTCGAGCAAATCGATGAACAATGGGAGGACAGTGTTTGTGTTGTTTGTTATGTCTTGGCAAAGTCCATCCTGAGATGGTGGAATCTGGCTGGGAGCATGGCAGCGATTTTGGGTTGTGGCAGCCTGCGGCTCTGCTTGGGTGGGCATTGAGATGACCTGTTCCCCTCCAACTTAGCCTGTTCTGCTTAGCCTTGCATGGGTCCAAGATTAACTGGCTTTTGATCTCTTTCGAAATTTATTTATGGGTCTCTGAAGCAAGGCCAGTATAAGAGCTTATATGGTGGTACTGGAGCTGGTTCGTGGGGTGACTGCCAGTGCTTCCAGGAGTATAGGGAAGAGGGGGGAGGTAACCCATCCTGTTTATTTGTTTTTTGGTTTTGGGTCACACCTGGCGATGCTCAGGGATTACTCCTGGCTATGCATTCAGGAATTACTCCTGGCAGTGCTCAAGGAACTATATGGGATGCTGGGGGTTGAACCCGGTCAGCCGCACACAAGGCAGACGCCCTGCCCACTGTACTATTGTTCCAGCCCTGTGGTAGCCCATCTTTATCTCAAGAAAGCCTGAAGATTTAAGTCACAAAACCCGAGTATCTGAATTTTCAGCAGGTTAATGTCTCAGTGAGGTCCGTCCAGAGATGGTGGAGTCTGACCAGGGGCATGTTGGCAGTTTTGGATTGTGAGAGCAAGTGGCTACCATGAGCTCTGCTTGGGTAGGCACCAGGCTGATCTGAACCCCTCTGATTTACCCTGGTCTGTTCAGCCTTTTATGGGTCTGAGATTAACTACAGCTTTTGATTTCTTTTGAGACTTATTTATGGTTCTCTGAAGTAAGGCTGATAAATGAACTTGTATAGCTGAGCCGGAAGTAGTTTGTTGGTGTGACTCTCACATCCCTAACTTTTGGCCATTTCTAGAGGCACAGCGGCAACTTTTGGGAATAGGGAATCCCGAAGGCACCATTAGGCTGCTGGCGGTACTACACCCCCCGTATTTCTCTTTTTCTTAACTTTTTGTTTTGTGAATCACAGCAAGTGGTTCTTGTGGGCTCCCAGCATTGCTGGGAGACTGTGCAGTACGAGCAATTGAACCCAGGTCTTTCACATGCAAAACAAGCTGTAACCCCTGAGCCAACTCCCTGCCCTCTACGGATATCTTAATTCTACCTACTATGATGCAGCCTACTTATTTTTGACATGGTGATACCTTGCCTCTTGCAGCTGAAATGTGGAGCTTGTGGTGCCATTGGGCATATGAGGACAAACAAATTCTGTCCCCTCTATTATCAAACAAATGCTCCACCATCCAACCCTGTTGCCATGACCGAGGAGCAGGAGGAGGAGTTGGAAAAGACAGTCATTCATAATGATAATGAAGAGCTTATCAAGGTTGAAGGGACCAAAATTGTCTTGGGGAAACAGCTCATTGAGAGGTAAGTAATAGGCAGAAAATCATAAGGGTGAGCTCTTGGAGTTTGGTGATACTGATGAGTGGCAGAGGCGGATGTGGTATTTTGTTCTCTGAAGTAGAACTTGGGGGTTTAACTTTAATTTTCCTCAGTAAATATTGCCAGAAATTAAAATTACAGTGTTTTGTAAAAACTTTATTAGCAGCTCCATGTTAGCAGCCTAACACTTTGTGATTTATTCTTTTAAAAATTTTATTAGTTTGGGGTCTACACTTATCTATGTTGAGGGATTACTGCACTCAAAGCACTCCTGGCAGATCAAACCCAGGCAAGCAGCACGCAAGACAAGTGCCTTAGCTGCTGTACTATCTCTTGGCCCAATAAGACTTTTTAAAATTTATTATTTATTTATTTATTTATTGAATCCCCGTGAGAACAGTTGCTTTGCACTGGTCTCGTCTGGGCAGGGGTGTGGGCCAGTTCCGCCCCCTATCCTGAGAGGCCCTGTGTGCCCTGTCACTGCAAGCTCGACCTCTCTGTCCAATAGGCTCTGAAAGATGGCAGTCACCATGCTGCCTCCATGGGGGAAAAGGCCGAGGGACAAACACTTTCCCCTTCCAGGGGCTGTAGCTTAGCTCACAGTCCAGAGGTGTTTCTGCCAGAAGCTGCTGGGTTTCAAGATTGGTTTCCATGCCTCTGGGATAATGGCCATTCAGGAGCGGAGGAGCCATTTGTGGGCGGCAACTCAGGGTCTCGTCCGGGCAGGGGGAAAGTTGGCCCCATAAGCCTTTTAATAGGTAAAGGTAAAGGTAAAGGCCCTCCCGTTGATCGTCGATTTGCTCGAGCGGGCCCAGTAACGTCTCCATTGGAGACTTTGTTGTTACTGTGTCTGGCATATCGAATACTCTTGGTAGCTTGCCGGGCTCTCCGAGAGGGGCGGAGGAATCGAACTCGGGTCGGCCATGTTGGCCGCGTGCAAGGCAGACACCCTACCTGCTGCTGTGCTATCGCTCCAGCCCTTGTGCTATCGCTCCAGCCCTTTTAATACTATGTTTAAGCCTTTTAATACTTTTAAGCATTTTAAGCCTTTTAATACTATGTTTAATAGTAATGTTCATCTTGTTCCTAATCTTACAGGTGAAAGTTTTAAGTTTTGCACCAGGGAATATGGTGCTAACTGCAACAGGTCCATATATTTAGAAGCACATTAGGGGATTGGGAATGTGACTCTGTGATAGAACATTTAGCTTACATGTATGAAACTCTAGATTTGATACCTGGCACCAGAAAAAAAAGCAAATTATAAAAAAAATGTGTCTTGAATCTCCTACAGTGAAAAGTTGGGGAAGGGGGGGATGCAACGTGGATGGACCGCTAATGTAGAGAAATCCAAATTAGTTGTTCATTTCATGCCAGTTTTTAATTTCTGTATTTCACCATATTCATATTTTTTGTTTGTTTTGGAGCCACACCTGGCTATTCTATGGCTTATTCCTGGCTCTGTGCTCAGGGATTATTCCTGGCAGGCTCATGAGGCCATGTGTGGTGCTAGAGATTGAACCTGGGTTGATTGTGTGCAAGGCAAGCACCCTACCTGCTGAAATAACACTCCTAGTCCCTCCACTTTTGATTTTATTTATATATTTCTTTACTTCTTGGGGGGCCACGCCCAGTATTGCTCAAGGCTTATTACTAGCTCAGGGCTCTGGGATCACTCCTGGCAGAACTCAGAGGACCATATATTGTTCTGGGAATCAGTCGTGGGTCAGCCACACTCAAGGCAAGCGTCCTATCAGTGTACTCTCTCTCCAGCCCCATCATCTCCCAAATTTTAAATGTGAATATAGGAGTATTCCACGCATCCTAAGCACGCACTAAAGACAGTTTAGTATTAAATGATTTTTTTTTTGCTTTTTGGGTCATACCTAGCGATGCACAGGGGTTACTCCTGGCTCTGCACTCTCAGGAATTACTCCTGGCGGTTCTGGGGAAACCATATGGGATGTTGGGGATCGAACCTGGGTTGGCCGCATGCAAGGCAAATGCCCTACCCACTGTACTCCGGCCCTATTATTTTCTTATTTTTGGGCCACACCCAATAGTGCTCAGGAATCACTCCTGTTGGGCTTGGGGTCCGTATGTGGTGCTAGAAATCAAACCTGGGTTGGGTTCGTGTTAGGAAAACATGCCTTATCCTTTGTAGACTCTCTCCAGCCCTAATAAAGGATGTTTAAAGTAATGCTGATGCAAATTAAAAAGTTTCACATAATGGTCACAACCCACTCTTTTTATCAAAATTTGCCATGGGGGGGGGGAACCCAACAGTGCTCAAGGGTTATTCCTGGCTCTGTGCTCAAGAATTACTCCTGGTGGTTCTTGGGGAACTGTATGGAAGGCTGGGATTGTAACCTGGTTGGCTGCAGGCAAGACTCTACCTGCTATACCAGCTCTGGTCCCCCAAGATAATTTTGGCATAAAATTTGAAAGTTATGCAGTTTTCACTTGTTTCCATGTTGTTTTTAGTTTTTCAGTTGTGGAGTCCACTCCAGGGTAGTGGTTTTCTAGCACCCATGCATTACCAAGCATCAAACCCAGGACCTCACTCATGCAAGGCATATGTTCTACTTGAGCCGCACCCTTTGCTCTCTTATTTCCATTCTAAGTAAGCTAACTTTCCTAGACCTTTAGCTGTAAAATGTGATGTTGAACTGGAATAAGTCTTGAAATTTCTGTAGTCTAATTCTCTTAGAGTCCAAATAAGAAACTCATTTGGTGAGTTTCACCAAATGAAGTGAAATTGTGGCTTTCCTAGTTCTTTTATTTAATTTGGCAATCCTATGAAACCTTGCCTGATCTGAGCCTTGGAATGTAGTTATCTGGCCCTTGGATGCTGGTTTTTTTTAAAAGCAAAACAGCTTTATTTAGAGATCATGAGGAGGAGGACAGAACCCGGGCTTCTCTAGAGGCCGAGAAAACTAAGGACACATCTCAAGTGTAGATGCAGGCCACCCTCCGAAATGGGGAGGTACACTGCTTGTCTTTGGCCACTTTTTTTCCCCTCAACTCATGCTCATATACTTAAGACTTTTCATTGTAATTGCCTTTTTTCCCCTCGAAACTAGACATGAATTGTGTTCTATGACTTTGTTGTTGATTCCAGTGCAGATGAGGTTCGTAGAAAATCTCTGGTTCTCAAGTTCCCTAAACAGCAACTTCCTCCCAAGAAGAAACGTCGAGTTGGAACCACTGTTCACTGTGACTATTTGAATGTGAGTATCTGCATTGTGTCTTTCTAAGTAGATGGGGTTCTCAGTGATTCCCCTAGATTCCCTTCTATCCTCTCAGCCATAGCTTCTTTTGTTGGTTACTGTGTTTTTATTTTTGGTTTTGGTGTTGGACCATACCTGGCGGTGCTCAGGGCTTACTTCTAGCTCTCTTGCTTAGGGATCACTCCAGGCAGGCCTGAGGGACTATACGGGAAGCCAGAGATCAACCCAAGTCACCTGTTATACTATATCTCTTCAGCTACAAGCCACAGCTTCTTACATTTTTTTCCCATTCATTTTTTTCTTTTGTCAGAGAATTTTTTAATATAATCTCAGGTATATAGGCATACAAGTCAACGTTTTCTGATAATCATAAGGAAATTTATTTTTGAACAAATTGTTAAGAATTTTGTGTCCTCCCTCTTCAGTTAACAAGTCCATATAGGGTTATGACCTACAGTTTAAGAAGTTAGGCTTACTCATTTTGGAAAACAGTATGGACGATTCTCAAAAAATTAGAAATTGAGCTCCCATTTGACCCAGCAATACCACTCCTGGGAATATATCCCGGAGAGGCAAAAAAATACAGTCGAAATGTCATCTGCACCTTGTTCATTGCTGCACTGTTCACAATAGCCAAAATTTGGAAAAAACCCCAGTGCCCGAGAACAGATGACTGATTAAAGAAACTTTGGTACATCTACACAATGGAATACTATGCAGCTGTTAGAAAAGATGAAGTCATGAAATTTACATACAAGTGGTTCTACGTGGAAAATATGCTAAGTGAAATGAGCCAGAAAGAGAGGGATAGACATAGACTGCACTCATCTGGGGAATATAAAGTAACAGAATGGGAGTCAAACACCCAAGAATAGTTGAGATAAGTAGTAGGAGGTCTGCTCCAGGGCTTGAAAGCTGGCAGCACATGCTGGGGGAAACAGCAGCTCAGATAGAGAAGGGAACACCAAGTAAAGGATGTTTGGAGGACTCTCTCAGGATGCGAGATGCGTGCTGAAAGTAGACTATAGACCGAACACGATGGCCACTCAGTACTTCTATTGCAAACCACAAAACCCTGAAGGAAAGAGTGAGCAAAAGGGAATGCCCTGCCACAGAGGTGGGGTGAGGTGGGGGGGTGGGATATGGGGGTGGGAGGGCTACTAGGATCATTGGTGGTAGAAAATAGGCACTGGTGGAGGGATGGATACTCGTTCATTGTATAACTGAAACCCAAGCACAAAAATTTGTAAGTCTACAACTGTACCTCATGGTGTTTCACTAATAATAAAAAAAGAAGTTAGGCTAACTGCCGGGAGTAAACCCTCAGCACAGCTATGTGTAACCCTTCCATCCCCCCAAAAAATAACCTATGCCCTAAGCCATGACTCCAGTATAGGCTTAGATTCATCTTTTGGCCTTACCCTGGAAATTATGTGCTGTTCACTAGAAAATTTTTCTATTTAGTATTTTCTTTAAATTTATTTTTAGTGCGGAAAAGGCCCACAACCAGCAGCGCTCAGAGACCACTTAAGGCAGAGCTCGGGGGACCTTGCTGTGCCAGGGGAAAAAAAAACAGGGGCTCCCACATGCAAAGTTTGCATTCTAGCAGTTTGAGCCATGTCTACAGCCATATAAAATATTTTTTCTAATTGATTGGGGTGCTGGGGATTGGACCCAGAATAGTATTCTGATTTCTTATTTGTCCTTAGAGACCTCATAAGTCTATCCACCGGCGCCGGACAGATCCCATGGTGACACTGTCATCCATTTTGGAGTCTATCATCAATGACATGAGAGATCTTCCAAATGTGAGTGCCTTTGTCCTTTGTATTCGTGTCTAAATAGGGATGGCAATTTCTTTTGGAATTTCAGATACCAGGTAATATAGTCCTGCGTACCTCAAACTCTTCATTTTGGATTTAGGGTGTTTTTTTTTTAAAATAGCTTAGTAGAGGAAACAAACTTACTCTATCTAGAAAGGATTATTTATGAGTTGATGGCCAAGTATACAGGTAAGATACTTGAGAGAGTCTTCAAGAATTGACTCTGGCATGAATAGTGCATCTTCTTTGCACAGACATATCCTTTCCACACGCCGGTCAATGCAAAGGTTGTAAAGGACTACTACAAAATCATCACTCGGCCAATGGACTTGCAAACACTCCGAGAAAATGTGCGGAAACGCCTTTATCCATCTCGGGAAGAGTTCAGAGAGCATTTGGAATTAATTGTGAAAAATAGCGCAACCTATAATGGTAAGAATCACCTGTTCTTGAGTGTGAAGTCTGCCTTTCAGATCCTTATGTACGTTTTTATTCTAAACTTAAGAGTACACTGAAAGGACTTGTAATATATTACTGGTTTTGGGGGGCTGTGAAAATGTGTTAGTACAATATTGGTTCTTTTTCTTTAGTCATTTTATATTGGTTCTTTTCATTACTGTCTACTTTTTTGTTGTATCTTATGGAGAATTTGTATTCAGTCTGTTGAAATGAGACAATTGCATGGGATATAATACAATAAGGGGGCCTAGGTAAATTCTAGAAGAGAGGCATTCATTATGGGTGGGACCTGTGCAGAATAGATGCTTGTGACAGTATTTGCTGTGTGTGACATCTTTGATTTTTATCTATGAATCTATCATAAAGACTATTGTTTTTGTCTGTTTTGCTCAAAAGATAAAAAAAAATTGCCTTAAAAAGGAAAAGCTCTTTCATCGTTTTTGGTTTCGATTTGTATCCCTGAGCACATTAAACCCTATAAATATGGAATTAAGTGTATGTATGTATAGACTAAGAATCATAACTGTGCCACTTCCTAATTGAACTATATATATTTTGCTTTTTGGGTTACACCCAGCAATGCACAGGGGTTACTCCTGGCTCATGCACTCAGGAAATACTCCTGGTGGTGCTCGGGGAGACCATACGGGATGCTGGGAATCGAACCTGGGCCGGCCGCATGCAAGGCAAACGCCCTACCTGCTGTGCTATTGCTCCAGACCCCTAATTGAACTATATTAAAAGTTATTTAACCTCTCATAAATTCAGCTCTCATCTGTAAATGTTGGTCAACAGTAGCGCTTAGATTTTAAGAATTTGTACAAAGAGCTCTGGTCCAGGTCTTAGTTCTTTCTTTGGTTTTTTTTTCTTTTTTGTGTCACACCCGGTGTGTTCAGGGGTTACTCCTGGCTCTGCATTCAGAATTACCTTTGGCAGTACTCAGGGGGCCATGTGGAATGCTGGGATAGAACCCTGGTTGGCCACATGCAAGACAAATGCCCTAACTACTGTATTATCAATCCTCCCCCCCAGGTCTTATTTCTTCTTATTTCTTTCTTTCTTTTTTTTTTTTTTTTGCTTTTTGAGTCATACCTGGTGATGCACAGGGGTTACTCCTGGCTCTGCACTTAGGAGTTACTCCTGGCGGTGCTCAGGGGACCATATGGGATGCTGGGAATCGAACCCCGGGTCGGCCGCGTGCAAGGCAAATGCCCTATCTGCTGTGCTATTTCTCCAGCCCCCCAGGTCTTATTTCAAGTGACTAATTCCTGTATCTACTTCAGACTCCTCCCACACTTAACATTATATTCCACTCAGTGTGTTATGCCATTTCTTCATTCCTTTGTAGCCTTACTCTCTGCCTACAATGCTCTTCCCTTTCAGTGATGAACTTCCATTAATATTTCTGGCTCAAGTCATTACAACTCTTTATAAAGACTTAATCATATAGCCCCAAACCATAAATTTTCTGTCCTCTGTGCACCCCCAACACAATTATATCAACTTTTATAATATTTACTGTTTCACATATCATATTTATCATTCCCTGCGACTTTCTGACCTAGAGATACTACATCTTACTGTTTTTATTTGCTGGAGCATAGCCTAGAAAAGTGCTAAACACATATGAGGGAAGAGTAAATAAGTTTGTTAGGCCTAAATGCCATTCATATTGAAAGGATGATTACTTTTTCAATGGGACCATATGCATAGAAAAATAATAGTTTAAATGTTGTGTATTTATATTTTGTGTCTGCTGTGTTTTAGGCACTGGAAAGTGTTGATAAAACTGCTTTTCCTAGTAGAAATCTAGTACCTGGTATAACTTAGTAATTGTGATAAAAGTAGAGAGATATTGGCAGCTTTTGTCTCCATTTTATTTGTTGTTTCTCTGAAATTTAGGCCCGAAGCACTCATTAACACAGATCTCTCAATCCATGCTGGATCTCTGTGATGAAAAACTCAAAGAGGTGAGGAATTTAAAATAAGAGAAAAGTTGGGGCTGGAGAGATAGCATAGCGGGTAGGGCGTTTGCCTTGCACGCGGCCGACCTGGGTTTGATTCCCAGAATCCCATATGATTCCCTGAGCACCACCAGGAGTAACTCCTGAGTGCAGAGCCAGGAGTAACCCCTGTGCATTGCCAGGTGTGACCCGAAAAAGTAAGTAAGTAAGTAAATAAATAAATAAAGTAAAATAAAATAAGAGAAAGGCAGTGGAATTCGAAATAGCAGATAGCAGAGTTAAGGAAGTAGGGAATGTAATAGGATGAGGAGTAGAAGAGTGTCTTTGTATTGTCTGGAAGGCAATGTAGAAATCACATAGACCAATCCCTTGCTTTCCTTGTTGGGAAAATTAAGGTCCGTAGAACAAAACAACCAACCCTGGGCATCATTGATTAATAGGATCAGGATTAAAATCTAGAACCCACTGTACTCTTTAGAAATGCCTAAGGAAAGTGAAATCATAGGAAGTCAGCTGGGGCTAAAGAGATTGTATATTGACAGGGAAGAATTTTAATTTATTTTTGGGTCTCTAGTAGTGCTAGGCGCCACCAAGATTGTACCTTACGGTGCTTCCGAAGCATATGTTTCTGGATATTGAACCTGGGGCCCTTTGCATGCTAGATATGTGCTCTAGCCCTTTGAGCTATCTCCCCAGTCTTGACTTTTTTTGTTGTTGTTTTGGGACCACATTAATCAGTGCTCGGGGTCACTCCTAGCAGTGCTCAAGGTAGCAAGTGGTGCCAGGGTTTACATGGAAATGGGTCTCCTGCATGGAAAGTATGTATTCAGCTGTTGAGTATCTCTCTGGCTCCAAAATTTTAATTACTATAATATAATCAATATTTTATTTATCTAGATGAATCGTCTCCTTAACCAAAAAATGTAATGTCTTGCATAAGTGATGATGATGATGATGATGTTAATCTTGGTGTAGACATTTCCTTTTGGAGGGGGGCACAACCAGCAGTGCTCAGGGCTTACTGCTATCTCAATGTTTGGGGGACCATATGTGGTGCCAGGGATCAAACCCAGGTCATCTTTGCAAGCCAAGCTCCCTACCTCTTTTCGTGTCTCTCCATACCAGTGTAGGTATTCCTGAAAGGGCCTCCTTTTAAGTAGCCAGTCTCAACTTGACTAGTGGAGAAATGTAAAGTTAGTCCATATAAGATGTCACTATATTCCCTCAGAAAGGTTAAAATTAAAGTGTTTATTTACCTGGAGAAAGTTCACAGTTCAGTTGGATTTTGTGGAGCAAGGACAATAAGTAAACCTTGAATTATCCTTAACTTTTCTTTTGTGATCAGTTCTCAGGGAAATCTCTGCCTTTCTTTCGTTTTTACTTGGGAAGGGAGTGTCAGTAATTAAACCCAGATCCTCATACATGCAAGACATTCACTCAACCACATTTGTTTGTTTGCCTGATCCCACCTTTATTTTATTTCAGAAAGAAGATAAATTGGCTCGTTTGGAGAAAGCTATCAACCCCTTATTGGATGATGATGACCAAGTGGCATTTTCTTTCATTCTAGACAACATTGTGACCCAGAAAATGATGGCAGTTCCAGATGTAAGTGCTCTCTTTGCTAAATATTGAGAAGGTAGTACCAAAGAACAGAAAGGATAAGTGACGTATGTGTGTGTGTGTGTGTGTCTGGAAAGTGGCATTTGCTGTCAATTCAGACTGGTTCTATGATTGGAGGGCAGGCACGCCCTGTGCTGCTCAGAGGTTACTCCTGGGTTTGCAGTTAGGAATTACTCCTGGTGGTGCTTGAGGGACCATATGGGGATGCCTAGGATTGAACATGGGTCCTGGGTCAGCCGCATGCAAGGCATTCCCTGCTGTACTATTTCTCCATCCCCTAGACAGGGTTTTTTACCCTACCATGGCATAAGAACTCTTAAGTTTGTGAATTCATTAAATAATATAAAAAGTTTTATCTTCTTGGAAAAAATATCTGTAGCTTTTGTCAGAATCTTGAAATACTTGTGACCCAACAAAGGATAAGAATCTGGGGTATAAACAATGTCTCTGATTTAATTTTTCATACTTTTTACTAGTCATGGCCATTTCATCACCCAGTTAATAAGAAGTTTGTTCCAGATTATTATAAAGTGATTGTCAGTCCAATGGATTTAGAGACTATACGTAAGGTAAGTGATTTGATCTAAAATAGGTTTTTGATCTAAAATTGGTTTTTGGAATCAAATAAAAGTATGTGTATTTGAGTCAATTAATCAGTTAATTTAATTGATTCTTTTAATCACAGAATATCTCCAAGCACAAGTATCAGAGTCGGGAGAGCTTCCTAGATGATGTCAATTTAATTCTAGCGAATAGTGTTAAATATAATGGCAAGTATCAATCTTTTTTCTTTAGTCTTTTCTTTAATAATTCAACATTAGTAAATTTTAATAAGTTAGCATGATTAGATTTTTAGTGCATAAAAGCATCCATGGGTAGCCTTTGGTAGTGATAAATCTTAGGAATCATCCAAGTGGCTTATTTTGCCTTTTTAAGCAAGAACATGGAATATATGTTTTGTAATATTTGCAAGTAAGTTTGTGATGAAAATTCAGTGTAACTTTTTCTTCTTGTTTTTGGTTTGGGCCGCTCCCAGCAGTGAATTCAAAAGATAACTCCTTGCAGGCTTGGGAAACCATAACTGGTGCTGGGGGATCGAACCACATGCAAGGCCAAGCACGTTACCAGCTGCAGTATCGCTCTGGTTCAGTGTACCTTTTTAAAATTTATTTTGGAATTAGACCCGGTGGTACTTGGGCTATTCCCAGCGGTGCTCAAGGGATCAATATGTGTCAGGCATCAAACCTGAGCCTCCCACATGTAAAACATATGTGCCAACCCTTTGAGCTCTCTCTCTGGTCCTATTTTTCCATCTTTTTAGACTTTGAAAAAGCACAGAAATATGAAATAATAAAATTTGGGTATATTTGAGCCATTACTGCTTTCCCTGAGATGTGAAAACTCATCAATTCCTCGGGCTCTTTGGAACTTAGGGAAATGTGTCACAAAGACCATGATTAGCTTCTTCAGAGAATGGAATTTTTGCTCAGTGCACAGATTATATGGGAAATTCTCAGCTACACACTTCAAATAGGAAGGGCTGTCTTCCAAGTAATTCACAATCCAGTTGATATAATAGGTACTATAGAAGGAGGCGGGCTGGAGCAATAGCACAGCAGGTAGGGCATTTGCCTTGCATGCAGCAGACCCAGGTTCAATTCCTCCACCCCTCTCAGAGAGCCAGGCAAGCTACCAAGAGTATCTCGCCTGCACCGCAAAGCCTGGGCAAGCTACCCGTGATGTATTCGATATGCCAAACACAGTAACAAGTCTCAATGGAGACGTTACTGGGCCCGCGCAAGCAAGTCGATGAACAACGAGAGGACAGTGCTATAGTGCTATAGGAGGAGGAGCATCTTTGGGGGTTTTTGGTGGGAGTGGTTAGACAAACAAAATCCTAAAGATCTTATGTCCCATATATTGTGATTCTGAGTTCTTATTTGTTTTGTGTGCGTATGTATGCATGTAAATCAGAGTTCTTAACCCAATTTCAAGTTGGAGGACACTGAAGAAATTAAGCAAAGAAATATTTATCCTATGTGACTCCTTCAGCAAAAGAGGATTTTTTTTCAGTTGTAGTGCTTTATGGGGATTGGATTCCTTTTTTGTGGTACATACACACATGTAGCTGCAATGTAGCTGGAAATTACTTGTAGTGTCAGTGATCATAGACATAGAGCTTCTAGAATCATGCTTTTCCACATGTGGTATACAGGGGATTTGAACTCGTGACTGTATATTTTTATTTTTTTATTTTATTATTATTATTATTATTTTGCTTTTTGGGTCACACCCAGCAATGCACAGGGGTTACTCCTGGCTCTGCACTCAGGAATTACTCCTGACGGTGCTCAGGGGACCATATGGGATGCTGGAAATCGAACCCGGGTCAGCCGTGTGCAAGGCAAACACCCTACACACTGTGCTATCGCTCCAGCCCCGACTGTATACTTTTAATTTAGGCACTCTAAGCCACTGTGTTATTCCTCCAAGCCCCTCAAGTTTTTGGTGTTTTTGTTTTGGGGCCCCACCCAGTGTTGCTCAGTTCTTATTCCTGGCTCTATGCTTCAGGTCTGTGATTCAGGGGCCGCGGACAGTGCTTGGGGGAGCATATGTGGTACCAGGAATCAAATCCAGATCATCTGCATGCAAGGCAATCTCATTAACCTGTGTACTGTCTCTCTGGCCCTGACCCTCTTAGCTTTTCTGTGTTTTTCTTTGTCTTGTTTTTGCTGTGCTGGAGGTTGAACACAGGTATCATGCCTTTAAGTCATTGTTGAACTGTATTCCTTGTCCCCCTCAAATTTTGGGTAAAACAGATCAACTAGTCTTATTGGACTAGTCTTCCCATTGTAACCAAGAACTGGACTGGGAAGTGTTAAAAGTGCTAGTATTTTTATTTTGTTTTTCTGATAGAAATGTCACTTTTAGGGGCCTGGAGCAATAGCACAGCTGGTAGGGAGTTTGCCTTGCACGCGGCTGACCTGGGTTCGATTCCCAGCATCCCATATGGTCCCCTGAGCACCACCAGAAGTAATTCCTGAGTGTAACCCCTGTGCATTGCCGGGTATGACCCAAAAAATTTTTTAAAGGGTCACTTTTATATAGTTATAATTTATCAGCCCTTAACTTTTGATTTCTGTTCTCAATGTAATGACTTCATAAGTTATTGGTATTACATTTTCTTCTAGTATAATTTAAATATTTGTTTGTTGGGGACACACCCAGCAGTGCTCAGGGCTTACTCCTGGCTCTGCACTCAGGGATCACTCCTGGCAAGGCAGATGCACTACCCACTGTACTATCACTCTGGCCCCAAATATTTTAATGTTTATTATTTGGGTGACTTTGGGGGGGGTTATTTGTTTGTTTGCTTTTAAATTTTGGGGCCATATCCAGGAGTGCTTGGGACTTACTTCTGACTTTGCTTCAAGAGACCTTTCAACATCTGTATTACAAACCATAATGCATAAAATGAGAAAGAGAGAGAGATAAAAGAGAGGTGCTTGCCATAGAGGCAGGTGGGGGTGGGAGTAATGGGAGTGAAACTAGGGACACTGCATGCTGGGAAATTAAACTGGTGGAGGGATGGGTATTGGAACATTGAATGACTAAAACCAAATTATGAACACGTTTGTAATGCTTTTATGGTGATTCAAGAAAAATTTATTTTTAAAAATATAATGTTTAATTTTAAGAAATGTGAAAATTTAGGACAAGAGAGACCCTGTATATGTTTCAGGGAATCACTGGTATCATCTGCTTCCAAGGCAATCACCTTACCCCTGAACTAGCTCTCCATTCCAGTTTTTAAAAGTAGAATTAAGGTAAAATTGAGGTGAATGTATAACATAATTTCTCTTCAAATGGTTAGCTAACATGTCCTTGTCTTATTTATGGAAATTTAACCTAATTTCTACCAATTGGAATGCTGTCCTTTAAATAATTTTAGGGACTGGGGGATGGCACAGGGGTTAAGGCATTTTCCTTGCATGCAGCGGACCATGGTTTGATCCTCACACTACTTATTGCCTCCTAAGCACCACCAGGAGTGGCCACTGAGCATTAGAGGTTGGTCCAAAAACTCAAAGTAAAAAGGAAAAAATCTATTTGGGCCAGACCCAGCTATGCTCAGGGGACCATTGGGTGCTGGGATTGAGGCATTCAACACTTCTCTACAGCCTTTTGGGCTTGAAATACTACGTTTGTCATAAACTAGATTTATACAGATTCTTGAACCTGTTTTTTGTTCTGTTTTACTGTTTGTTGAATGTGTATTATCATCAGATAATAGCACTTGGTCATCACCTAAAATCATTTTATGATTCTTCTTATGGAGTTTTGAGGAAGGATACTAATGCTAAAGAGATTGTGGGATTCTCCAGAGAGATGAAAGACCAAAGAGGAAAAGAGAGATTATATACCTAGCTTTGAAATGCAGGTGACCCCAGAGTGCTACACGTATAATTTTTATTTTGGGGACCCAGATATTCTAGATGATTCTAGGGTCATTTTTGTTAGAAACTAACGTGTTTCCAAATGAATGACAGTGAAGTTTAATTAGGAGTGAAGGCATATCTCATTAAAATTATATTTCTTCATCTAGGAGGTCTATTCTGGTTGCATTTGTTTTTCTTTTGGGACCACACCTAGTAGTGCTTAGGATCCTCTCTCTGTACTTAAAGGTCATTCTTGGTGGGGCTTGGGACCTTATGTGTTCTGGGGATCAAACCTAGTTCAGCCATGTGCAAGGCAAGAACCCTACCCGCTGTACCATATCTCTGTCACTAGTTGCATCTATTTTTAAAATTTTTTATTAGTGAATCGTGTGAGGTACAGTTACAGTCTTACTTTCATGCTTGCATTTCAGTCACACTAGTTGCATCTTTTATGCCTGCAATAATGACTTCTGGTTTTCTTTGTATTATTTCTAGGCCTCTTGTAATTTGTTCTTAAATATTTTATAATTTTTATTATTGTTCACTATTTTTAATTTTACTCAAAATTTTTGTGTTTGGCCTGGAATTAGAGTCAGGGCTGCACAAATACAAGGCACAAACTCTTGTCTGTGATCCACATTCTAGCCCTAGTTTTTATAGGACTAACTCCCAGTTCTGTGTTCAGGGGTCACATCTGGCGGGTTTTGGGGGACCATATGTGGTGTCAGGATTGAACCCAGTTCAGCTGCATGCAAGGCAAATCCTTACCCACTGTACTGTCTCTCTGTACCATCAACCCTATTTATTTTTTATCCACTCCCTGGATTGTCTAATGGTCAGTGTCCTGGGATGGTACTAAAACCTGGTGTTTCTCATAATTCTCTGGAGCCACCAGGGCCACATCTTGAAAGATTGGGGGGGTATACAGTTTCGGCGATCAAACTCAGGATTCCCTTGTAAATGATCACATATGCTCTGCCACTTGAGCTACTTCCCTAATGCATACAAGACAGTTTTAAAGTTTTGGGGCTGCTATACTTGTGCTCTTTCCCCCTTAACTGGTTATTAAATATACTGGTTTAAATCAGTTTGAAGAATATGGATGGTTTGCTGTGTTCATAGGTAAATATAATACTTAAAGTATTTATACTGGTTTCTTTTTTTAAAATTTTTTTATTAGTGAAACCCTATGAGGTACAGTTATAGACTTTTAAATTTTTGTGCTTGAGTTTCATATACTGGTTTCTTAAGTATTTTATGACACAACTCTGTAAATTTGACTATGAAATAATGTGTGTGTTTTAATTTTAAGACTGATTCTCCTTTGATTG